TCTTGGGCTCTTGGCAGCGCCTGGCCGCTCTTCTCTAACCTAAAAGGTCCAGGGTGGTTCTGTTACATCAGGCAAAGGGATTAGGGGGCAGCCCCTCTCTTCCAGAGTCTCATGCAGATACTTTATAGAATTCTTTTTTATTGAAGTATAGTTGATTTACAATGTTGTGTTAATTTCTGCTGTTCAGCAAAGTGACTCAGTTATACACGTATATACATCCTTTTTAATATTCTTTTCCAGTATGGTTTATCCCTGCGCTACACCGTAGGACCTTATTGTTTATTTACAGTAGGACCTTGTTTATTGAATCTTTGAAACATAGTTCCCTTGGGGGTCAGTTTGGATGAGTGAAAGAAAGTCAGTGGATTACAAGGCCTTTAGAGAGATTTTTAAACAATAGAATGTGTAGTCATTCCATCACAGGATGCTGTCCTCTACACGCACACGCTTTTCCTACAATTCTTATGTATTTAGGGCTTATTTTCTAAAATTTTTTTCCTTCTTTTTCCATCTACCTGCCTGGCAAGTATTTCCATATTCTACTCATTAAATTAGAAGAAATGTTCCAGATATTCTGAGATTAAGATTTTTTCCTCCCCAAATTCCCTCCTAGCAGTACTGTATATAAGAATGTGCACTGCACGACTTCAAAGAGTGGCATGCACATTGTCATCTGTGGGGAATGTCTCCTTCTCCTGGAGCTGTACAGAGTCCAACACGTAGCTATACATGTGGCCGTTCCTCCTGGCAGCTGCCTGAGACCTAACGATAAGGACAGTGACTTAACTAATTAAAATATTGGAAGCTCCTCCTATATTATAGGAGGAGCTATGACATGAATATAACATGAATACACAAAATCTGTGATATAGATACACTGCAACTATAATCGTTGCTTTTTCCTTTTTCGTTAAAAAATCTTTAATTCCTCTCCAGTGCCTTCAGGATTACGTCTGTTACCAGTGGCTTCTAAAAGGGCTGGGTTGATTTTATCAGAACCATTTGGATGAGTTGTTTAAAAAATAAAGATTCCCAGAGAGAAAGGAAAAAATAAAAAGAGATTCCAAGACTCCAGATTGAAGATTCTGGCTTGAGAGGTCTAGAGTAGGGCCTGGGATTCAGTGTTTTAGAAAGCAGCCTGGCACGCCCAGTCCCATTCCCACCAGGGAATTCTGTTGAACAGCCCTGTTTAGGAAACACTGGTCTACCTCCATGCTGGACCACAAGGCCCTTCACAATTGTGCTTCAACCAGCTTGACTCATTTCATACCACATGTTGTATTTCAGCTTTAATGGAAGATTCACCATCACTGAATACATCATGTTCTTTGGTGCCTCATATTACACATTCCTCTGTCTACAAGAGTTTTGCTTGGATTTTTCTGTCAAGTGAACTTGTTTCTTGGCCTTTAAAACCTAAATGACCTGGTATCCCCTTGAACTGTGATGGTAGTACTCCGTTGCCTAGAATCAATTATTCCTGCCAAGTTCTTATAACAGTATGTATTGTAGAAGTGATCCTCAAATACTGTTGTTTCGATACTTCCCCCAAAAGAATTTTTAAAACTCTGTACTTAATATAAAAATTTATTTGCCTCATAAGTTTAAATCACTACCAATGATATAATTTGTAGCACATTAAAACATCAGCTCTTTATAATAAACGTATGCCATCACTTTCTCAAATATAGACAAAATAATCTCAGTACTTTAGGTCAGGTTCTTGTAAAAGAAGACAACATTCTAGTGCAAGTGATTTATTAAGCAGGAGCTCCCAGAAGAAATGGGGAAGGGAGTGGGAAAAACATGATAGGATTAAGGTGACGTCCCAGCCTTAGCGTGATGCTGCTGGGAGCTTAAATGGCAATTGCACATCCAAGTTTATCCCATTTCTGGGCAACAGAACTGTTTTGAAACTCTGCACTTGTCATTATTGGCTGTGAGACAGTGAGTGTGTGTGTGTGGTGGGGGTGGGTAGAGGGCAGGAAACAGACTCCCAGGCTTTGTCTCCTCTACTTTAGAATGAAGATGCTCCAGCAGCCTAAAGCAAGAACAGCCAAGCATACAAACTGGGAGATGGGGCACAGCACTAAGTAGATTATATTATCTGGGCAATCTGGATGGGTTCCAGAGGTATCCTCAACAATACCCCATGATGTGATAATATTATTAATTTAAAAAATATATTAGACTTCTGATTCTGGAAGATGGAGTAGATATACTTTTTCCTATTCCTTTCACTAAGTGCAACTAAAACCTCTGGACAGGGAATTCCCTGGTGGTCCAGTGGTTAGGACCTGGCACTTTCACTGCTGGGGCCTGGGTTCAGTCCCTGGTTGGGGAACTAAGATCCTGCAAGCCACGCAGCACAGCCAAAAATAAAAATAAAAACTCTGGACACTATGTATAGAATAAACATAAGAAGACTCTGAGAGATGACAAGGGAAAGGTAGACCAGCTAGGGATTTGGGGACCTAAAGAACAACGTAATTGTGAGTTCCCTGGGTTTTCTTTTTACCTCACATATCCCAGGCTGGGCATTGGAAAAGCCAGCAACCCAGAAATGTCAATGGGCTCAAACAAACAAACAAAAAGCCCCAACAAAAGTCTGCTTTCTCTAGCCAAAGAACCAGGAAACAGTCAAACAAGAGAACACTTTTGAAAAGTAACAGCTCTACTGGAGAGGCCCAGCAGTTAGTCAGAGCATAGGAGACAGAACAGGACAGGAGAGGCGGGAGTCATTGTCTCAGAGGTGAAGGCTACTGGGATGGATGAGTTAGCTGGGGTGCAGACAGGAATGCAAGATGAAGGCCAAAGACAGAAACTTGGGAATGCCTACAGCGTTATTACCCTTTAGTTTCCAATTAGAGAACGACTTGAGAGCTTTAAAAGAAAAAATACACGTGCTTATCCCTGGAGATTCTCAGGTCTTTTCTGCATTTTTTTCAAGGTTCTAAAGATGATTCTAAGGTGCAATAAATGTTGAAAAATATTAAAGTGTTGGAGAGAAAAATAACTGATGATTCACTATAAACAGGGAAATGATTGAGAAGAAAGCATTCAGGATGCTGATGAAAGGGCAGATTCAGGGGTCTAAGAGTGTTAATGGGGCCAGATGTTGCAGGATGGCAAGAAGATGGAGGACTCAAAATGACTAAGGGAAATATTAGTATCTTACTTTAAAGGCCAAAGAGAGAGTTCAGAGCCATGATAGAAAAAAGAAGTAAACCTGGGCATATATCCAGACAAAACTATAATTCGAAAACATACATGCACCCCTATGTTCATAACAGCACTTATAGTAGCCAAGACATGGAAACAACCTAAATGTCCATTGACAGGTGAATGGATAAAGAAGATGTGGTACATATTCACGATGGAATATTACTCAGCCATAAAAAGAATGAAATAATGCCATTTGCAGCAACATGGATGGACCTAGAGATTATCATACTAAGTGAAGTTAGAAAGACAAATAACATATGATATCACTTATATGTGGAATCTAAAATATGACACAAATGAACTTTTCTATGGAACAGAAATAGACTCACAGACAGAGAACAGACTTGTGGTTGTCAAGGGGGAGAGGAGCAGAGGAGGGAAGGACTGGGAGTTTGGGATTAGCAGAGGCAAACTATTATATATAGAATGGATAAACAAGGTCCTACTGTATAGCATGGGGAACTATATTCAATATCCTGTGATAAAATCATAATGGAAAAAGAATATGAAAAAGAATATATACATATGTATAACTGAATCACTTTGCTGGATGGCAGAAATTAACACATTGTAAATCAATTACACTTCAATAAAATTTTAAAAAATAATAATAGTTTAAAAAAAGAAAGAAAAAAGAAGTAAAGAAAAATCTCACAGTAATTTTGGAGCTTCCTGGACCCTATCCCTGATAAATTTGCTTAGAGGACAACAGATAGCTATAAAATCAATTGACTTTAAAAAATGAGAGTATGAAATGGTGTCTGTCAGAAGATAAGCGTCTGGGATACAAATCTAATTTATATAAGGACTTAAGCAAATTATAAAAATATTAGGAAATGCCAAAATCACAACTCAATGTTGACTGCCTCATATAATTTTTCTTACTTGATGTTCTGGTGTTTTTGTCTTTCAATTTATTAGTTCTATGACTAACTAGAAATTTCTCTTTAAATGTATACTTTCTATGATTTGATATTCTGAAAATACATTGTGAAAAATCTTCAATTTATAATGAAAATAAATAGCAAAGTAAATAATAACATATATGCAAAATGGTCTATTAAGTGCTTTCACATTTTTATTTAACTTGATCCTGTCAACACTCCTCTGGTGTAAATATGGGAGGGATCAGAATTACTATTATGCGGAAGAGGAAATGGAAGCACTTGGAAATTAAGTGATTCGCTTAAGGACCACCAACTTCTCTGTAGCAGTCAGAACTCAAACCCGAGGCTTCTGATTCTTTGCAATTTTTCATAGCACATTTGTTCTATTGAGATTCCTGTGTCATAAGTTATCATTTCTGACCAGGCGTAGTGAAAAACTATGCCCACCTGCTTCATGGAGGATGTGCCAGTGGCAAGCTCTGGTTTGTGAAAAGTAATGGGAAAGAGGGTTCAAGTATAATATTTTGTCCTGAACAAAAAGGATATCAGTTGTTTTATCCACAATGGCTAAAGAGAGGAAAAAACTTGTCCTTGGACTCCATGGCAACAAGAAGCAAAGTGACCCCCTTGAAGGTTGGAGGTTTCAAAGTTAAAAATAAGTAGGGCTTCCCTGGTGGTGCAGTGGTTGAGAGTCCGCCTGCCGATGCAGGGGACACGGGTTCATGCCCCGGTCCGGGAAGATCCCACATGCCGCAGAGTGGCTGGGCCCGTGAGCCATGGCCGCTGAGCCTGCGCGTCCGGAGCCTGTGCTCCGCACTCCGCAACGGGAGAGGCCACAACAGTGAGAGGCCCGCGTACCGGAAAAAAAAAAAAAAAAAAAAAGTAAAATGTTGTTATGATTTTTACTCTAATATTCCTAATGTTAAGGCTCTCTTGAAAGGGTATTATAGTTCTTCTGTTTTATAGAAGTAGAAACTGAAACTTAAGGATAAGCATTAAAAATCATAATTTTATTTTTGCAATGACTATGTGACTAAAAACAATGGTATTTAAGAGCAAATATTGATATTATACACAGCTATTTTTAAAAGCTAAGGGTTTCCCTAAAATATAGAGAAAAATTAAATCTTGTTTTTCTGAAAGGCTGATACACTCAACTAACTAAAATACTCCTATAAAGAGCAGCTTTATAATATCTATTAGAAACATTATTCTACCAAGACACTTCAGAACCAAATCTCAGTAATCTTCAGGGAAGATAGTAACACTGATTCCTGGATCATCATGATCATCATTTTCAAGTTCTTTATTATTTTCTTCAGTAATATATTTGCCACATGCTTTTTCTGGGTTTCTTTTTTTCTTGTGAGTATATGATGAGTTATTTTTCTCTTTGATTTTCTCTTTGGGATATGAGGTCATAGAAATAGTTTCTTTTTCCAAAGCATGTTGTAGGCAGTTGTAAAACCTGTAAAGAAATAAGGTATTATTGTTATATCTGTGTGCTCTGAAACAAAATGAAATACACCTAGAATTTATAAATTACATAAACCTGATGTCTCATATTAACCTCAAGATATAGAATAAATCACAGAAATAACGTGCTTCTTGCTTTTATGATTTTTTACTTAGGAAAAGAAATGTTTCAGTTCTTTAAGAACAGTCCTGAAAACTTGTTTGGAATCACCTCTTGATAACCTCTATCCTACCTTAATTTCTATTCCAGATACAGGAATCAAACAAAGATTAAAAAAAAAGAAAATACATATTCTTTCAAAAGAATCATAAATGTAATAGAGGCTCATTTTAGAGAATTTGCAAAATATGTGAAGTTACAAATACAGATCACCTTTACATATCTACCTAAAAATAATGACTCTCATATTTTTTCCTTCCAGTTTATTAGTGTATTCTGAATTAATACATCTGTACATGTATACATACACCTACTGTCTTTTATACAATTGTGATATTACATATAAAGTTTTACATTGTTTTTTCAAATTTAATATTTATTGAAAACACTTTCCATATCACTAAATGAACTACAAAATAATACTTTTTAATGGTAGTATAACATTATGCCACTTAGATTGGCCTTAATTTACTTTCAAATTTTCCCAATACAAACAACAATGTGATAAACATTTTGGAAATGATGTGATCTGAGTTTCTAGCTATTTAGGATAGATACCTAGAAATGTTAACTGCGTGGTTAAAGGTTATAAATATTTAAGGCTCTTGATAAGTACTACCTGTTTTCCAGAATGGGTATTCAAAAAATATGCTTCTAAGGGCAGAGCTTGAGAGACCACTTCACTCATACAGTGACTATTACATCAAAAAACACGCTTTACTTATAGGTGATTACGGTCTCTCATTATTTATATTTTCATTGCTTTGTTTGAAAGTGAACATTTTTTATTAGCTATTTTAATTTTTTAATGTAAATTATTCTTTTCCTTTACTCATTTTCCTGCTGGAGTTTTTGTGTTAGTTTTCAGCATACGTTGGAAAGCAGCAGGATGGCTTGGTATGCTGTGTGTGCTTCACACGAGTGGTCCCCTGGGAAAGCTGAGGTTGGCTAATTCCAACCTCACTGAGTCTCGATTTCCTCATTTATAAAACTAGCTATTATCCTGTACCTAGCAGGGCTATCGGAGGGATATATATGTAAGTACCTAGCACAGTGCCTGGCACCGAGTAAGTTCTCAAAAACGACTATTTTTACGGAATATAAACTCCATAAGACCAAGGACTCCATCTATCTCGTCTTCTGTTACATGCTTAGCATGGAGTACAGTACAGCCACACTTGGGTAAAAATATGCCAAATCAGTGAATAAATAACTACTGAACAAAAAAGGTAAATATGGATGTATTATCTTAGGTCCCAAATAAAATGATCTAAAAGTTGAGAACTCCTTTGCCACTGTCGGGATCTCATCATGCTTTAATATCCTATTATAATGGGAGGCTATGACAGGAAATTTCTGACATCTGCAGAAGAGATTGCTATTTGGGCCAATTTTCTTCTTTCTTTAATTCAATGAACAGGCTAAGCTCTGCTTGCAAAAGCTCTAAAACTGCCCTTAAAAACCCAAGATAATCACCTCTTAGCAAATACTCCACACAATGCTAACATATACCTAACATGATTACTAATATCCTATCCATATTTCAAGAACTTATATACTCATCACTGTGCACCTTGATATCCAGCACCATGCCTGGCAGATAATAAGGGCTAACTGATATTTCTAAAATGAATAAATCAATCTCAAAGAGGGAGGTACAGTAAAAGGGAAAACAGTATTTTAAGAGTTATAGCAAAAGGCTTTGAAAAAATTAACTGATGTTTAATTTTTTAGACCCCATAACATGGTAACAACCTTTTCATTTAATGCATTCCTTATATCCTTACTTAACTGAAACCTGGTTTCCCACAAAGACACCACTGCCCTGCATTCCTCTTAAGTGAAGACTGCTTATTATTTCCATACCCTGCCTCAGAGTTGAGTGATAAGGTCAGAATTCACCTGCCTCACCAACAGTTTGCCAGACTAAACTCCTTCATGTGCCCCTCTGGTTATCTAACAATATTCTGTTCAGTCCTTTACATTCATGGAAACGTCTACACTTGGCTTTATCTTTGTCTCCAGGTCTTGCCATCATTCTGGGTGACTTCAATGACTGGTTTTCTTCTCATCTTCCACAATGCCTATTTAGAATGGTTTTAAAAAATGACCCAGTAGCATAACTCATTTTATCTAAATCAAATCCAAGCATGCTACAAAAGGGTATGAATCACCCTTATCTGATAACAAGAGGTTATTCATGATGTGCAACTTTATCTTCTATCACTCTCTACCCAACCCTGCTCTTTAAACTTAGGTAACCAAGTCTTTTCTCTGGATTCTACTGCATTCCTAGAAAATTAAAGATAAGACTAAATTCCTCTTTTATGATCACAGAGAATTAACAGCTGTGTAAAATACCTTGTCAATTACATTAAAAAGGTAATTAAAGAGGAACAGGTGCCTTACTTTAATCTTCTATCAAACAACCTAAGAATTCAAAGCTATATCCTTGGGGTACCAAAAATACAACTGGTAAAATGGAACAAAGACCTTTCCGTGTTGAAAGCCAAGAATAAAACTTCAACTACTTTTTTGTTTTCCTTGGTTAAGGGAACTTTTAAAATGTCCTTTGGGAAACTATCTTACTCAATAAGTCAGAAATTTGTTTTCCAATTACATGTTCTCTTCTCATGATATGACCCTTTATACAGCATTCTAAAGCCCAATTCTCAAAGTGTAATTTTCTCAGCTCTCAAAGGCAACAAAAAGAGTTTGGAGTATAAAAAGAAATGTATGCTCAGGTAACTGTTTTTTTCCCCCCTCAAAAGAAAATCAAATTGTCTTCAGTTTTTCTACTTCCACAGTCAAGATTATCATGACATAGGGCAACCTGTATATACTTCTCTTCATGAGAGCTTTTCAGAACAGTCCTGGGAAAATGAATTCTTGTTTCTCGGATCTGTTAGAGGACCATGTGCAATAAAAAGCTGGTATTTCGTTGACTTCAGAAATAGGAACATAAAATTAATGAAATCTAGGCACAATTTCATACCCTTTTAAGGCTTCCATTATTAACAAATAACAAAAGAAGGCTATTCTCATATATCATGTATTTGGATTTTTAACTGATTTTAAGCTCTAGAATTTTTTATTAAAAAACATGTATGTGGGTTTCCCTGGTGGCACAGTGGTTGATAGTCCACCTGCCGATGCAGGGGACATGGGTTCGTGCCCCGGTCCGGGAAGATCCCACATGCCGCGGAGCGGCTGAGCCCGTGAGCCATGGCCGCTGAGCCTGCGCGTCCGGAGCCTGTGCTCTGCAACGGGAGAGCCCACAACAGTGAGAGGCCTGCGTACCGCAAAAAAATAAAATAAAATAAATAAATAAATAAAAAATTAAAAACATGTATGTGACAGGGCCTATGCCAGTGCTAGAAACAGGTAAGAAATGTGGTCTGTGCCCTCAGGGAGCTCAGGGTTTAATGGGGGCTGCAGAGCCATAAAGATACACTCAACGTGCCATGAAAGATCATGAAATATTCCTTGGAAAAAAAACCAATGCCTGGGCTGAATTGCAAGGATGAGTGGAAGCTGGCTAGTAAAGGGAGAGGAATTATGAGAGGAAAAATTGAAGGGAGGGGACATCCAAGGAGGAACTATCAGAAAATACGTGTTTTCACTGTTTACTTCTCTGATCTTCATTATCTACTTCTCTGATCTTAAGTATATAGGGAAATATGTGAGTTATTTATTTACTAGCTTTAGTTCCATTACAAAAAATAAGACTTGACTCCTTCTCTTCTCCCCCCATTTCTATCTGCTGCCACATTCGGGTTATGTTCTGCAGTATCTCTCCCATTCATTTTGTTACTCAGGGTCCTGTTAATTCTTGCCTGGACTGTGTAGCAAGAGCCTACTCCTGCTTGCCCCATGAGTAAGCCATTTTACATCTTCCAGAATAATCACCCTAAGGCTTTGAAGCCATAAAAGTAGTACTACTGTTAGAGTCTGTCAGCTAAATTGAGCAAATATTTATTGACCACTATGCTCCTGTCAGACACTCAGAAAATAATAAGAAACTGTCTTTGCCTTTGGTGAACTCAATATACTGTGTTAACTTTTAAGTTCCTTTATTGTTTAGGATGAACTCAATAAACATTTATTGGGTTTCTACTGTGAGCCAGACACTCTATAAGGTTTTAGGATGAGAGATATTTGAAGTGTGTGTATGTATGGGTATGTGTTTGGCTGGTGGGAGGGGAAAGTCAGTCCTATACACAATGTGACCAAGTTGTACTGGGGAAAAAAAGACATGTGCAATTAAACAACTGTAATTTAATATGGTTCACATTTCTGTTTTCACTGAGGCATAAACTGTAATAATGCTGGTAAATGATAATGAGAATTTGAACCAAGGAAATGGGTAAATGACGTTGAGATTAAGATAAGAAAGATATTAAGGAAAGGCTGATGGGATATTTTGGTTAGATATATTCAACAGGTTATTAGACATATGGGCCCAGGACTCAGGAGAGATTTGGAAGATCTACCAGTATCTGGGGAAGTAGCTAAAGCAATGGGCCAGGAAAGGAATCCTGGAGAACGACAGCATTTAACCAACAGATAGAATAACAAGAGAAATCCAGAAGGAAGCTAAGAAAAAGCACCACAAACACGAAGGAAAGCAGCAAAGTGATGTAACAGAAATTCTTACTGACAGGTATATGAAATAGTGCTCAATGTCACTAATCATGAGGGAAATGCAAATCAAAACCACAATGAGATATCACTTCACACCTGTCAGAATGGCAATTATCAGAAAAACAAAAGACAACAAGTGTTGGCAAGGATGTTGAGAAAAGGAAACCCTTGTATACTGTTGGTGGGAATGTAAAATGGTGTAGTTCCTGTGGTAAAGAGTATGGAGGTTCTTCAAAAAATTAAATATAAAATTACCACATCATCTAGCAATTCCACTTCTGGGTAAATATCAAAAATAACTGAAAGCAGACAGTCAAACAGATATTTGTATACCCATGTTCACAGCATCATTATTCATAATAGCTAAAAGGTAGAAAAAACTCAAACATCCATTGATGAATAAATGGATAAACAATATATGTTAAATACAATGGAATATTATTCAGCCTTAAAAAGAAGTAAACTTCTGCAAAGGAGGCAAGACTATACAATGGAGAAAAGACAGTCTCTTCAATAAATGATGCTGGGAAAACTAGACAGTTACGTGTAAAAGAATGAAATTAGATCACTCCCTAACACTATACACAAAAATAAACTCAAAATGGATGAAAGACCTAAATGTAAGACCAGACACTATAAAACCCTTAGAGGAAAACGCAATCAGAACACTGACATAAATCGCAGCAATATCTTTTTTGATCTGTCTCCTAGAGTAATGGAAATAAAAACAAAAGTAAACAAATGGGACCTAACTAAACTCCAAAGCTTTTGCACAGCAAAGGAAACCATAAACAAAACGAAAAGACAATCCTCCGAACGGGAGAAAATATTTGCAAACAATGCGACCAACAAGGGATTAATCTCCAAAATTTACAAACAGCTCACGTGGCTCAATATCAATAAAACAACCCAACCAAAAAATGGGCAGAAGACCTATACAGACATTTCTCTAAAGAAGACATACAGATGGCCAAGAGGCACATGAAAAGATGCTCAACATCACTAATTATTAGAGAAATGCAAATCAAAACTACAATGAGGTATCACCTCACACCAGTGAGAATGGCCATGATCAAAAAGTCTACAGACAATAAATGCTGGAGAGGGTGTGGAGAAAGGGAACCCTCCTACACTATTCATGGTAAGGTAAAGTGGTGCAGCCACTGTGGAAAACAGTAAGGAGGTTCCTTAAAAAACTAAAAATAGAGCTACCATATGATCTAGCAATCCCATTCCTGGGCATCTATCTGGAGAAAACCATGGTTGGAAAGGATATATGCACCCCAATGTTCATTGCAGCACTGTTTACAACAGCCAACACATGGAAGCAACCTAAATGTCCATCGCAAATGAATGGATAAAGAAGATGTGGTACAGATATACAATGGAATATTACTCAGCCATTAAAAAGAATGAAATAATGCCATTTGTAGCAACATGGATGGACCTGGAGATTATTATATTAAGTGAAGTAAGTCAGACAGAGAAAGACAAATATCATATGATATCACTTATGTGTGGAATCTAAAAAAATGATACAAGTGAACTTATTTACAAAACAGAAACAGATTCACAGACTTAGAAAACAAACTTATGGTTACCAAAGGGGAAAGGTGGGGGGAGGGATAAATTGGGAGTCTGGGATTGACATATACACACTACTATATTTAAAACAGATAACCAACAAGGACCTACTGTATAGCACAGGGAACTCTGCTCAATATTCTATAATAACCTAAATGGGAAAAGAATTTGAAAAAGAATAGATATATGTATATGCATAACTGAAACGCTTTGCTGTACACCTAAAACTAACACAACATTGTAAATCAACTATAGTCCAATATAAAATAAAAATTAAAAAAAAACAGCAAGCCCGCAAAAAAGAAAAAAAAAAGGTAAACTTCTGATCACACTACAACATGGATAAACCTTGACAGCATTATGCTAAGTGAAATAAGCCAAACACAAAAGGATAAACATTGTATGATTCCACTTGTATGAGGTACCTGGAATAGTCAAAATCATAAGAGACAGAAAACAGAAGAGTGGTTACGGGGGGCTGGGAGTTTGGGGAGTGGAGAATTATTGTTTAATGGGCATGGAGTTTCAATTTGGGAAAATGAAAAGGGTCTGGAGATAAATAGCAGTGATAGTGGTGGTTGCATAGCAATGTGAGTGTATCTAATGCCAATGAACTGTATAACGGTTAAAATTATAAATTTTAGTTATGTATATTTTACCACAAAAAAAAACAACCATTGGAAATATTCATTTACTTTTTCAGTCTAACTTGCTTTATTTTTATCAATCTTATATGCCAATATATTTGGCCCTTTTACTCTATATTTAAAAAAAATTTTTTTTAAGATGCCATGTTTTTTTAAATTGGAGTATAGTTGACTTACAATGTAGTGTTAGTTTCACGTGTACAGCGAAGTGAATGAGTTATACATACACATATATCCACTTTTTTTAGACTCTTCTCTCATATAGGTCATTACATAGTATTAAGTAGGGTTCCCTGTGCTATACAGTAGATCCTTATTAGTTACCTAGTTTATATATAGTAGTGTGTATATGTCAATCCTTACCTCCCAATTTATCCCTCCCACCACCCCCTTCTGCCCTGGTAACCATAAGATTGTTTTCTACATCTATAACTCTATTTCTGTTTATTCTACATTTTATTTAACATTTATTGTCTTATTACAGTTGGTGAGAAGAAGAACATGGCTCATTCCATCCAACCCAAGTCAGTCCTGATCTCTTATTAACAGCTACAAAGATAGCCCTCCACTTGTAATGGGTAAATAGATCTCCAAACTTCATATTTTTTTACCTGGAAATCATTATGTATGAAATTTTCTTACTCTTCCCACTAAGAAGTGGGCTTAGGAATTGTTTTTTTACAAAAGAGGCTTTTTTTTCTATTAAAATTATTTTACCTTTTGATTTTCGTATCTCAAGAATATTTCTTATTGCTGGAATGTTACACATTAGGATTTTAACTTTTAAAAATTCTCTTATTATAGTTGTTTGAATTATGAAACTTTGGTCCTGTGAGAAACCAATTTTAGTACTCAACGTCTGATTGCAGAACTCATCACCTCCAGTGTTTATTTTTTCTCTTTTCCACAGCAGAAGAGTAACTCTTTCTCTGCATTTGGTTGAATATACAGCTGTTCCCAAAGGAGCTCCCAAATTTGTTCACCCTTTCTGAATTCACATGTAATCTTCTAATCAGTATCTTAAGAAACTTTTTACCCTTCTTTAATTTTTCACTGATTTTATATGATGAGCATGACTCTCTTGATAGCAGCATGCACACCATAATCTCGAAACATATTTCTGAGTCAATGGATTTAAAGCATAATTTGATTTTATAGTTGGTGAACGTGACTCAATTAACTTCACCAGGTGTATAGTTAGTTGATCTTGGGCTATATTTATAATCTTATTGAAATTCAAGTAAGGAAACAGAGAAACTGAGTTGCTACCTCATACATTTTCGCAAACAGTCTCTCTAGAATACTATCTAACAACCGTAGTCAACTTTTGGAATGCTACCAGTAAGTACCTACATACAGTTCAAACTCTGTAGTCTGGTGGAGTGGCTGGGTACCTTCAGTTGCTTACTTGAAATCATCACTATATTTAGAATGTTTGCTCAAAGAACCTTGTGGCCAGGTAACCTCTCAGCTTTTTTCAGCCAGGCTTCCGCTAAAAAATTCAGTCCTAATGCCTGAGGACATCCATTGTATGTCATGAATTACTTCTCTCCAATATGTCTAGACTAGTACAAGTTATATACCACTGTTGGGAGAACTGAGAAATAGTCACTCGAATAATTTTGTTAATTCTGTGGTTCAAATAAGGAGCCCTGGTTAAGAAAGCCTGGATGGTGGTACTGATGTGATTATAGGTTTATTCTCTGTATGAGTCGGTGAACAAGGAGAAAGGCTATCCTATCCTAAGAATACATGACATAACACGGACAGGGCCTGTCATTATACATATGCCATCTAGTGTATACTAAAATTGTTCTTTATGATAAGTAGGTACAAGAAAAATGAAGCCAAGAGAGTTGAGTAAGTTGTGGGGGAAGCAGGATTTGAACTCAGTTCTGCCTCTGGAGCCCATTTCTACCCCTTTCCACCATGCCACACTGCTGCCACTGGCACTTCTGGCCTTAGCTGCTTCATAAAAAGTTCTAGGTATTAAAGAATTTTAAGCAGGCAAATTAAGCAATAGTATTCCTTTTCATTCCAGACAGGATTCTGATGGTGATACGGAGAATGGCTTAGCAGAAAGACATACTGGAAGCATTCTACTATGAGACCAGCTAATAAGGTTACTGCAATGGTCCTGAATAAAGAACATGGCAGGAAGGGTGGGGAGAGAAGAATGACTCAGGAGTTACTTAGGCAGTGATTGGCTAGTTGTGAGGTGACCAAAGGGGTGGGGGAAAAAGCAAAAAGAAAATTATAAATGACAACAAGATGACCATCAGTCCTTAAATAACTCAGAAATTTACATCTTACTGATGGTAGGTCAGTGGCATTTATCTTCATATATAAAAGGCAGCATAATAGTAACTTCTTTACATCAAAGATTCTATTCTTAGGAAAAAGTTGAAAAAGAAAGTCATGTAAAATTAATCTACCAGGAGGTGAGATTTAAGAACAAGAGAAATATAAAGAAGTGACTGGATAGCCATAATCCTTCTGACTGGTACAATTATGCCAATTCAAATCTAATGCATGACAGGAGTGGGGTTCTGAGCTAGCCAGAGGTATAAAATATTTATCAGACTAAAATTAACCAGGCTGTTCTTCTCAAAAGGAGATTCTAGGTAGTCTTCAGTAGGTCACAACCAGGAGGCAGAGTGTACCTCCTCCCTGGCTGCCTTCAACTGGATCAGTTATGGTCCCTGGGGCTGCTGGGCTCACTTACCTGAGTGACTGTTTCTCCTTTATGCCTGTTGCTGGCAGTCACGTGTCCCACTAGCCTCCATGGAGCTTCCTCCCCTTTATGCTCCATTTAGTACCCACTGCAGTCTGGCCTACTCTCATCAATTACTTGCATCATCTTAATTATTCGTGATAAGGCTACAAATATAAAAGCAGTTGGGAGTATAAACTGACGATGGTGTATATTAATAGTTTCAAAGAAGCCCTAGGCATGTAAGACTATACCTTTCAATTCTCTTCTTGTTTTCCTCCATTTTTTGATTTGCTATCTTTATCAGGAAGTTGATATATTCCTCTGTCACCATCAGTTTTCCTTTATGGGTTAATGGAACTTCTAAGCCATGTGTGCTCCGGACAGCCTGCAAGGAGCAATTTATATATGATGACTTATGTACTAGAGAAACTGAAGATAACTAAAGAAAAGTCCCAGTCAGGGCTGTGTTTATATATAGTTTAGCTCCATTACAACATTTAAGTTTGTGCTTTGATATAATTTAGTTAAATACAGTTGAAACAAAGGAGATTCAAATAGATTTTCCCATCGCATAAAATCATTTGTAAAGCAAGTCATGCTATACATTGTCTTTCAGAGAAGCACATATTATCAAAGAATCCAATGAACGTAACAGTATCACTGTCACTAAAGCTAAGGAAGCTTTAATACACTAAAGAAAAGAAATAAATGAAACCTCAACAGAAGCTTCAAGGGAAAATCAAAATGGACTGGATGCTAAAGGGCCTCTTAGCACTGCTTGAGCAGCGTTGTTACAAGATAAACCATGCCTTTTCTATCTCACAAAGTGGCTGCTTTCTCAATGCTTTAGGGTTGCCGATGAAACAGTCAACATATTCCAAGTAAATCCAAACACTGGATATAGGTTAAGAAACAACAAAAACTATTATGAGGCATAAAAATTCATTCAACAAGCCTTTGCTAAGCATCTGCAGTGTTCTAAGCCCCATGTAAGGTACGAAGGTACAGGATGAATATAACATGGTCCCTGCCCTTAAAAGAGCTAACACTTCTGAACAGGAGACAGACAAGTGAACAGAGAATCACCATACATCATGGTGCTGTGACAGAAGAAACACATTCGTGTACATGTGCATGCACGCACGTACATGTGCACACAAAATGCTAAGGAAATGTAGAAGAGGAGCAACTAACTGAGACAGGTCGTGGTTTTACGGGAAATGTGGCATCTGAATTGGAATTTTAAAGGGTAAGTGTAATTTCACCAGATGTAAAAATGGGAGAAGGGGAGCATTCCAGCCAGAGGATTAACTTTTCTATAGTCATGGGAACATCAAAAGCATAATACATTTGGGAAATAACAAATAGTATTCTGTCTGGCTGGGGTGGAACTATGCTGGCAGAACATGAACATAAATAAGGCCTGAGAAAACACAAGGAGACCTTGACTTCTTTAAAAGGGGGATTCTGACAGTATGAAGATGGGTAGGAGGAAGACCAGTCAGGAGACCACTATAAAGATAGAGGTGAGGGACGATGACGGCTCAAGCAGGCACAGTGGCAGAGGGCTTGGAGAGGTGGAGTCAGGAGTGAGGAATCAGAGGTAGATGGGACAGGACTTGTCGCTAATTGAATATGGAAGATAAAGGAGAGAAGGTGAAAGAGTGGCTCTGTTCTTGCCTGGGCCACCACATGCAGTGGGGACTGAGATGGGGATGCAAATCAGTACTATAAGCTTTCATTTTCTATTTAGTCATGCTTTACAGATGTCTTCTTCTTAAGCCACCTCATTTTGGAAAACAGGCTATCTGTTAAAAATAGAAAAAAGTAAAGTCTAGGGAGCTAGAATGGAAGCCGATCTGAAGTAGTTCAAAAGCAAACAATGTACACCATGCCAAACAGTAAACACAAACAGTAGCTACCACGTGTGATCAGAGAGAATAGGGCAAAATCACTAGGGGTTGGCTTGGCCAGAAAAGGACTCAGAGAGGCTGTGGGACTTAGAAGGAGCCTTAAAGATCTTCTAGTCCAGGGGTCGGCAAACCTTTTCTGTGAAAGGATAGATAATAAATATTTTCAACTTTGCAGGCCATATAATATCTGTCACAACTACTCAATTTTGCCATCGTAGCACAAAAGCAACCTTAGACAGTAATTAATCAAATGGGTGTACTGGAACTGCCCGCCTGGGGGCTGAATGTGGCCCTAGGGCAGTAGTTCGATAGATCCCTGATATAGCTGAGACAATTCAGTCCCTGATGGATCCAGGCAGAAGACTTTAGACCCCCGTCTGTGATTCTTTCCACTACATCATGGTGCTGATTAAACTGGGCCTTGACTATTTAGGATGAGGAGGACGGAGAGAATCAAGTTAAAAGTAAGTGGAGGGGAATACTGTAAAATAAGACCTCAAATGTAAATCTAACAACTCTAGACTTCGCCCTGTACAGAAAAGTCAGTCACTGAAGGTTTCTGAGCAAGGGAATGACAAGAAGATTTGAGTAGAAGGTTATTCAATAATCTGGATTACTTCATGATCAAAAAATTGCTTTTTGCCAAAAGGTGTCGTACCAACATAGTCTTTCCTCTCTTTCCCACTGTTATGCCGGAGTTCCTGAAACCAGAATCTATTGCCACTGAATGCTGTAAGAAAATAAATTTGTTAAATTTGGACCATCTGGCTAATCAAATAAACACTTTAGCCCTACAAACCGCAGAAACATTTATAACCCCAAATCTATAATTAAATAAAACACTAGTTGATTAAACTAGCATTGCATTAATTTTGGTAGAAAATTTAAAGTTTAAAATTAAATCTACTCACATACCTATAAATTCAAGTATAATCGCAAAATTTTACCAGAATCTGTGCATCCTGCAACTGTCGACACTGCACATGAAGAACAAGTGGTTCAAATTTCAAAATGGCATCGCCATTCGCTTTCTTTAGGGCTACAATCTAAATAAACGGAAAATGTTAGGATCAGACACAAGTACATGATCCTGTTCTTTGGTGAACCTTTATCCTACGTAACTTCAATTCTTCCAAGGAACTTTCAGACTCATTCTGCATCCTTCCACAGTAACTTTTCCCTCTGTTTTCTTGGTCCTCTTTCTCCAAAACTTATTGATCCACTTATTCTTTTAAGAGACCTGATTTCTAATTCTCCCATAAACCTTCTGTGTCATTCTTTTCAACCATACCTCAAAAAAGTCAACTACTACTCTATTTAATTCCATAGCAGGTTTTTCATTAAGGAATATGGTACATAAAGACTAGAAGGTCTAGAAGGTACTAGAAGGTCTGTCTAAATGTTTTGCTGTTAGATCGAGGTTTGAGACACATATACTATTATGTCTCAGCTACAAGCTATATAAGGCAGTTGTTACTTCTGTCTGCCTAGTCTCCTTGCACCATCTTCCCTCCTTCACATCATTTGATTCTGGTGGCACTGTCAAGCGTGACCCTATCACTCATCACTCCCACTATCATAATATCAGAGACGCCAAGTGCCTAGGTGTGATCAAGGATAGCATTCCATTCTACTGGCAAAAATAGCTGATCTCAGTGGGGAGAACACCTAACCAGGAAGGATGACTCAGTGTCCTTTGGAAATGATACATGGATCTTAAAAAGTAAATCTTTTTCTGCTGGGGTTGCTGGCAGCTATATTTCCTGCCACAAAGATTATCTGCCACAAAAGAGAAGGGCAAATATACAGAGAGAACCAGTACCCAAAGGAGATGGAGACTGAGTGAGCTCTGAAGACAACATTTAAGCACCTGAGCCAGTAATGTAAAATGCCTGACTAATGCAAACTTATATGAACTCATCTAAACATTTTAATTTAGGAAACTAAATAATCCAGCGCAGATAATAACCTCCCACAACTTAAAAAAAAAGCCATTGTAATGAATTCTCTTTAGGCTTTATAATCTAGTCATTATGATTCTATACATAAACCACCTTGAATTTTCTATTCTTTTCATATGTATTTAAAGTGACTGTGAATTAAAGTTTATTTCTAAATTTATATATAAAAACTTACCACATCATCTTTCACACAGGGTTTATGTGTAACCAGTAGCCAGCAACAGTTTTGTTTCTGAACCTCAGAACCATTTATACCCTAAAGTGAAAAAATAACATAATTTAATTTATCATATAATATTTACAAAATAATAAGTACAATGTATAGCATATTTTAGGCTTTCTTAAATTAATAATCCCACGTGATTTTAAGTATTACTGAGAACAATTCAACAGGCTTTTGGGTAAAGTTAACATAAATGTTAACAAAAATGAAACCAAATTATTTGAGATAGAAAGAAAGTAATTTGTTTATTAAGGTAAAAGAACTTAATAAATATTTTCTGAAATACGGTCATGATTTTGTCAGGAGCAAAGGGATTATCACAAGGGACTGTACACGAATAGCCCCTAAATTGTACTCTAGCTGTTTTATATGATTAGCACAATATTAAAAAAAATTTTTTTTGAATTCCTTTTGTAAGAAAGCACTGTTCCAGTCCCACACAGGACCTACCACTTTTTACTGACACCTGATCTGTTCATACCTTCCTATGTCCCTAGTCGCTATAGGCATAAATTTGTGACCTCTGGATTAGACCTTATGTGTAGTCCCAAAGGGCAGAGCTAGGATTGAAACATCAAAATTTCAAGAGGGCAAATATTTTAACGTAACTTTTTGCTTATTAACTAGAAAAATGTTTATTTGCTAAGTTCTATGAGGTACTTTAGATATAAACAGATCCTACCCTCAAGGACACTGGAAAGAGGATGCAGGAAACACATGCACTTTTAAATCACTATACTTCTACAAGGTAACTTCTTTTTTTTTTCTTAAAGTTATGCATTTTCTCTTTCTTTTTTCTACAACGTAACTTTTATACAGTGGGTACACAGGGGACTTTGCTGTCTGGCTTTGGAAAGGAGAAGAGCTGTGCTTGTCCTAAATAACTGATTTGTTTTCACTGAATGACCTCAGTGACTTATGTTTTTGATCTTATGCTGGCTGCTCTAAATCTTACAGCCAAATGTGTGGCCCACCTCTAGCAAATTTACAGAGTCTAGTGGTATATTTTGAGAACTAATGCCATCTCTGCTTCATCTTATCTATACTCCCTTTATGCAGATTTTCTCACTTTTCTTTTTCTATTGCCTATTTGTAAGTTGATCCAAATTCTTCCAGAAATAAGGCAAAGTGAAAATAAACACAAGGTATAAGATAATACATAAAATGAAAAGAGGTTCAGAAAAAGTCCTAAGGCAGTTCAGAAGAAATAGTCATGGCTTCCAAATGGATGTGTGTGTTTGTATTCAGGTAGAAAAGGGGAGTCTGGGGAGGTACGTCTCAGATATGCAGAAATGGGGGAAGACATTTTAGGAAAAATAAACATGAGCAAAGGCAAAGGCAGATAAATATAAGAGGGAAAAGAGAATAGTTGTTTCAGTAAACAGATTAAGATGAAGAGAAACAGTGGAAAATAGAGCTGAAAGGTATACTAGAGTATTTCAGCATAGATGAGTGACATGCACAGAGCTGTGCTTCAGAAAGGGGAATCTATTAACTGTATGTAACATGGTTTGGGGTAGAAAGACTGGTAGAGTTCAGTGAACATGTAGAGTTCAGTGACCTGTTAGGAAACCACTGCAGAAATCCAGGTAAGACAGGGCAGGAGAAATGGAGAAAGAGAGAGAGCTCAAGACAAGCAAGAGTGCCAGTGCTCAGGGGGCAATGGAAGCAATATAAGAATGAGCAGGCTCTGCTCACCTGGGAGAGAGGCAAATGGAAGCAATATAAGAATGAGCAGGCTCTGCCCACCTGGGAGACAGGCAAATGGTCTGTCAGTGAGGAGCTAAAGAGTGAATTTATGAGTGTGCTGTCTTTCATGCTCTGAATTCAGTCCTAATGTTAAAATGAACACACAGCTAACTTTTACAGTGCACTTAATATGCCAGGCACGGTGCTAAAGGTTTCAAATAAATTATCCCATTTCCTCTACATAGAATCCCTATGAAGTGGATACTCTATTATCCTTAGTTCATGGGACAAGAAGGGGCTAAGTTTAGATAACTTCCCTAAAGTCACATAGCCAATAATACCCAAAACTGATCTAGAATCTAAGCAGTATCACTCCAAAGCCTGAGGAACTGACCACAATCACAGACTACATACTAATGTACTTTCTCAGGTAATGTAAAAATTACCAGAGTTGTAATAACGGAGTGAGCCACTAGGAGGCAGTGAACTTCTTAACCATAGCGATCTTCAATCAAGTGGTTAACAACGATTTGGTAGAGCGGTTAACGAGAAGACAGCCGCCTCGCCAGGCTGGGAAGTCCTTAAAATTCCTTAGTATTAAAAAAATAAAATTCTCTAACCCTTGCAACTCAAGATCATTCCCAGGCCAGTAGTTTCAGCATCACTTGGGGGCTTGTTAGAAATACAGATCAGACCCTACTCTAGACCTACAGAATCAGAATCTGTATTTTAAAATATCTCCAAGTGATTAACAGACACATTAAAATTTTAGAAGCATTGGTTTAAGTCACCCTCTCAGTTTCCTTGATAAAGAAACCGAGACCACCGGTCAGAAGAATAAACACAGACAGGGTGTTACATTGGGTGAGCACAAGGCTCCTGGTGTTGCACACTATAGGGCAGGCGCTGGAAGGACACAAAGGGTCCTGCTCACCCGGTCTAGAAGGATGATGCGGCCAGCGCAGGAACTGGTGGTGAAAAACTGTTCTCGCCCATTTAGGAGCTGCACAAGCTCTACCACATCCTCGTCCACACTGCCTTTCCGGCTGAGGTCCTCTTTGCTCAGACACTGCGCCTTCCATCTTCTGAACTCTGCGCTACGATCCATGCGACGAGGGAGTCAGGGTCTGTACTTTCACATTAACCCCGCCTTTCCCTGGGGGTAGCCATATTGAAGCCAGTGGTGGCCGGAAAGGTCCAAACTCCTTCCTCGGGCCCGCCCCTGGGGGCGGGGCTAGGCGGAGCCTGAAAGCGCCGCGGATGACGCGGCCCGCGTCTTTTTTCCCTGGAACCTGAGGGATCCCTCACAGATTTTGATTTCCCACTCTAGAACCGGGTAAGTGGTTTAAAAAGCCCCCTTAGTTCAGGCTGCTGAACTCCCCCGCGCTCGTCCCAAAGGAACCGAGCCGGATTTTGGCTGCGCTCCTGTCCTGCGTTCCGTCCTCCCCTAGAACCAGTGAATAAGGTGTTCGTGGCCGAAGTTATTCTCCTTCAGGGGCTGCAAGTTGGTCGTCCGTAAATCACCAGGGCAGTTTTACTTGCTGGTCCTGAGAACCCGGCTTTGCTTTCTGGCAGCGTGAGCGTTTCGGGTGCCACAGCGGGGCGCCCGTTGGTACTCCCCGCATCCCGCTCCCCCTGCCTATCCTCCCTCTAGATTTCCCCTCGGCCCGGCCTGGGATCTGGATTCCTGCGGCCGCGCGCGTTTGCTGTGACCCCCCGCCACAGGCAGCCGGAGGAGCCAATTTCTCGTTTCAGGCTCCTGTTTCCCAGGGCTCTTTCTGTCCGGCCTTTCCTCCTGCTTTGCCATCAGAGTTGCCGTCTTACTTTTGGAGAGAAATGTGTAGATTTTTTTCATCCTCCGCCCCCCCGCCATGGCTCCCACCTAGAAGAATTTTCAAAAGAAAGAAAATTAACAAAACACGCTGTGAACACATCGTGGGATATTTACGCAGTTCCTAGAGGAAACTTATATCAGTGACCAAGAAAGGTGTGTTAATGATTGAACCACTGAAAGGCTAAGGTTTGGACTGTTGGTCCGCAACTAGTAGAAATGGCGGTGTGATTCCCACTGAAACCACTGGGATGCTCCATGAATGTCTGGTCAGCAGTAGTAAATCCCACCGAGCTCTGCTCCATCCAGTCTTTTCCTCAGAATACCTGGCGGGGTTTAGGATAATTATCTATTCAACTCCTCCTCCACCCCTTCTTATCAGAAGTGGGTACTGAGATCCAGGCCAGTGAAGTAACCCGACACGGTCACATGGCCAGGAAGAGACTTTGCTGTGGCTACTTTTAATTGTTAAAATTTTTTCTGGGTTAAGAATAAAAAATAATATGCTGACATGAGTCATTCTTGATCAAAAGCAGCACATTTTGTAGTGTTTTATTCTCTTTCCAAGTTTTTTTTTCTTGCTAGAAATTCTTACTTAAGAATTATTTAAAAATTTTCTGTTTGCTTTTATGATATGCCTTTGCTTTGGCTTTGTGAATTGATCTGTTCATTTTGTGTGAAAATGTATTTCCCACATTTTCCCTATCTCTTTAATTTTCATTTAAACCAAATGGATTCAAGTGTAGCTTGGAAAATATCACTCTTTGAGGAAGAATTTTAAATTCTGTATTTCCTCCATTTGCAAAGTATGGTTGGCAACCTTTCAGAGGTAAAAAGTAAAACCAACATTAAACCAAGGTGCTCTAGTTTTTTAAAGTTTATATTTGATAAATAGAAAAACCTATTTGAAGTATAGGCTTAATTAAAATACACAAGCAGTGTGACAAGCCTGCTGCTGACTGCAAATGATTTACTCTGAATAATAGAGCTTACAGCATGTCAAGCGTGCTCTGAAGCACTCACCATGTGCTGTTGCAGTTCATCTTCACAAGGACCCTATGCTAGGGAGTGTTGGCCCCATTTTACAGATAGGGAAATTATTAGTTTTCCTAATAGAATCATATCCAGTGTATCTCTAGTGGAGCCCTTAACTTATGGGCATTTGAAAATTTTCAGACTCAGAGCAGATACCTTAATCATAAAATATGTAATGCTACCTGCTATCTCTAAGAAATTAAAGGTCCTATATGCCAGCATTTCAAAGGGTGAGATGAAAAGGATTTTACAGTAAGGGGAAAAAAACACCTAACAATATTTAAGGTGTTGGGTTCCAGCTGTGCTTCCGTGTGACCCTGGTGAGCCTCTTAACCCTTTGAATGTTTTCTCATCCATAACATGGATGGTGATTTTATTTCCACTTCTGCATACAATTAAATGGTGGTTTTAATAACTGTTGCTTTTCTACCTATTGTGAAAATTATATCAATGGGTGTGAAAGATGTGCTTTTTAGAAGAAATCAGGTGTCGCAAGGGTTTAAGGATTGTAATTACTATTAGTGTGTTGTGTCATTTTATTATTTCTTTAGCATAGTACCTATATTGTGAAGCAGATGAGGATCCTGTGGGTAGTTGAGGGGGTTCAAAGGCAATGAGTGCAGATTGGAGCCTGATCAATCATGGTGGCAAAGGTTCAGTGGGAAGTAAGATCTCCAGAAACAAAGTAGAAGTCAGAGCTGTCAAGGTCATGCCCTGTTTCCTTACGAGCTCCATAGGATAAGGTGTAGTACTGGGCAAAGAAGGGGGGTCTTCTAAATCCAGAGTTAAGGATGAATCTCCTCCTTCCTTTGTTCTTTTCTTCCAACTTAGCAAATGTCCAAAAGTGAGGGGAAAAAATGTATGTGCTAGATATTTTTGACAGATCCTATTTCAGGGTAATTTTGCTTTTATTACTGCTACAGCTTTTTGAGGGTACCAGTGATGTCTGTTGATGAAAAGATAGATGCGAGAGCTTGAAAGAAATAAATAGGTAGGAAGTAGGTAGATATTGAAAGTGGAAAAAGAGCTACTCCTCTTAACGTGGTATGTGCGTGCATTGGGGGAGATGAGGGCGGAGTGGGCAGGAGCTGGGGAGGGGTGGGGCTTGTTCTCTTTGCCCTCTGTGCTCTCTGAGTTTGGTACAGTGCCTTGCTTACAGTTAACGTTCAAAAAATACATGTTGAATGAATAACAACCAGTGTTTGGTATTAGTGTTTTGTTTAAATGATCCTCTGGACTGTGAACTCTTTGAGGCTAAGGACTTGATTTTACAAAGAAGTGCTGTAAATATTGTCACATTAAATCAAAGATGACTATAGAATTATAGAACCAAAGATATTTTAACGAATAAGAAATTGGAAAGGAGAAAATAGATGGGAAAGGAACTGTGATATCACTATGTATAGGAGTAAACATTTGTCAGGTTCTGTGCTTGATACTTGCCGTCTCTTGCATAGTAACCCTGAGTGGAACTCAAGTTTTCAGATGAAGAAGCTCAAAAAAAGTGACTGCCTTGCCCAAGACCACACAGCTAGTTCATGATAGATCTGGGATTCATACTGAGAACTGTCAGATTCCACAGCCCACACTCTTTCCACAACACCATGCTGAAGACAAAAAGGAAAAAAAAAAAAATCTTCTTATTTTCAGAGTGGAAAAGTCTGATCTGTGCGACCTTTTCTTTTTCTGTTTTATTTTCTTTATGTATATATTTCACTTTCTTCTCTAAGAAATACTCAGCTTGAGCGAAGACCCAAATAGAAATGCGGTAGTGAGACTGCTGGGTAGGTATGGCGTGAGCTGCCTTTTCCTGGTCCTAGCTCCCTGCACAGGACTTCTCACCCTAGGACTGCTTGGTGCTCTACAGTGCAGTGAGGCTTCTGCCTGCTTCTGCCCCCCCTTTTTTTTTTTATAAGAGGGCTGCCCTTCAGGATATGTCATTGCTAAACAGCCTTTTAGCAATGGAGAGTTTACTTTCTCCTCTGTGCTAGGTACTATATTAAATCATTTTAAATAAAGGGTTTTTAAATGACACAACTTTTGATTAATTATATCAAGAACTTCCCATTAATACCATCAAAGTGCTTTGATTCCCTTCACACGTGGAAGGCTACTTTATAGTTAGCATGGGCTCCGTTCTGAGGAGTCCTGTGTTGAACTGCAGTACAGTAAAGATCTTTCATCTCAAGCCCTAGTTTCTGCAACTCTTTTTGATGTTTCAGTGGCTCATGGTTGGTGAATATGATTATTCCAGAAGTTAGCAAAGATGTTCCCGGTGGTGGCAGAGTCTAACGATATTTGATATGGTTAATTTCAAGAAATTGTCATAGCACACAAATAAAATTATGGAGATCAGTCAAAGCCCTTTCATTGCATCTCTATAGGTATAAGATTTTCAAAGTTATCCAATTCTCTATATAAATATTCTTTACCTTTTCTAAACTTATTTTAACTCTTGAGTTTTCATTTCAATATTAACAGTGGTAGCGGAGAAAGGTTAACTATAAATTACCCTCATGATTAAAAAAGATTACATACAAAGCAGTGTTTTTAGTTTTTAATGTTTGTTCTTCTTTGTAAAGATGAATGAGCTTCATAAAACTAAGTGTTTCAACATTGATAAATCTCAAAAACTTAATGCTGAGAAGAAAAAGCAAGTTTCAGAATTCAGTACAATATGATCCAATCTAAATAAAGTTTGAAAACATGCAAAACAATAACAATAGCACATATTGTTTACCAATGCAAATACATGTGGCAGTGGTATTACATCATGCCTGAGAAGGATGAGCACTGAGTTTATGGGAATAGTCATCTCTTAAAACTGTGGGACAGAAATGGGATTGGGGATGGGTACCGGAGGCTTTGGTTACATGTACATGTTGTAGGTTTTTACAATGTTAAGATTTGTTAAAGCTGGGTGGCAGTTAAATGTTTATTATATTCTTTATATTTCTTTCTATATTTGAAATATTACATAATCTAACAAAAGAAGATCTATTTATCTAATGTTAAGAAAACTTAAATTAGCTCCTAGAATTCCAAGATGTTGCAGCCCAAGCTTACACCAAAGGAAACCTAAGATATTGTATCATGCTTCACCTATCCAGATGTTTTTGTTTGTATGTTTGATTCCCTTGTTGAAGGCACTGAATCCCTTCAGGAAGTAATATGAAGTACTTTGCTTTGTAGCTGAAGGATTTGTAAGATGAAAGGTCCTCAAACATGAAATGAGATCAGTGGTAAGCCCATGATTTAAACTGTTGTTTGAAAAATTGTTTGATCTTCTCCCTCCAGGGGAAAAAACATAGTGATAGCCTAGATACAATATGACAATATGTTAATTTTTTTCCTTAGTATCTAGGTCACCATGGCGACTGGACAGAAGTTGATGAGAGCTATTAGAGTTTTTGAATTTGGTGGTGGACCAGAAGTGCTGAAACTCCAGTCGAATGTTGCCATACCAATTCCGAAAGACCATCAGGTGGAAATCATTACTTAAAAACAGGCAATAATTACACTGAGTGTGCATCTCTAGCACATCAAGCTAATGTTCGAAAGAAGCAAACTCACAATGCTTTATAAAGACATTGAATTAGGACAGAGTTTACACTGTTTGCCTCTATAAGCTCTGACAAGGCTAACATAATTCTAACTAGTGAAGTAAATGTATAAAAAGGAATAACATCTTGTAAGAAAAGTTTTAAAGTTGAGAATCATCTGTGTAATTGGATTTTTCTGAATGGAGTCATAAGTAGGTTTGAACAAGTTATTCTATTACAGACTTTCAGTCATGATCTTTGTTTTATGCATGGGGAAAATAATTTTCTTCTGCATACATGCTTTTTCGCATATAAGAAAATTTAAATGCAGAGTTTAATCATTTCCGGTGACTTCAACAATATACTTTTTCAATAAAAATTGTGTATTTTTATTATTGCACCTTCCATGGCTCTCAAGTCTAATTTCCTTAGCAAGCTTTATGAGAGTTTTTACAGTGTGGCCATAATTTGGCAAAGATTTATTTCTTATCATTCCTTCTCAACAGACTGCTGTAACAACACAAGCTTTATCTGGTTTCCCCGAGAGGTCCTGTCATTCCTTCTGTCTTTGCACATACTATTCCTTTAACCTGAAATAGCCTTTTTGTCCCATTCTGAAAGAATTTCGACTCATTCTTTAAGACCTAGCTCAAATACACTTCCTTTGTAAGACCTTTCCTTACTTCTATATCAGAAGTAATCGTTCTGTATCAGTTAAGGTAAAATTAGCTTCTATTGTTGATGTAGCCTCAAAACGTCAAGGGTTCAACAATAGAAAATGGTGTCTCATTCACTTAATTTCACAATTCTAAAATGTTGGTGGATAGAGTTCTCCTCCAAAGTGATTTAGGGACCTGGATTTCTTCCATCATGTGGCTCTGCCACCTTCAACACCTTTCTTCTGAGTTTGCTGTGAAAGGGTGGAGACACTATGTGAATTGCCTAGGAAGGTCTTTGTGGGCCAGGCCTGAAAGGAGCTCTCATCACTTTTGTTCACATTCCATTTGGCTACTCGTAACTGTGAAGGAGCCAGGAAGGAATATTCTTCCTACCTGCCTAGGAGGAGGAGGAAATAGATTTGATGAGCACATAGTGGTCTCTGCCACACATCCGCTCATATTTCCGCCACTGGTTTTCCCAAGTGTTTATAATATAGCACATAAACCATTCTGTCTTATTTTTTTTTCTTTTTATTAGTGCACTCAGATTTTATTTTTTAAATTTTTATTGGAGTATAGTTGATTTACAATGTAGTGTTAGTTCCAGGTATCCAGCAAAGAGAATCAGTTATACATATATATATATATGTCCACTCTCTTTTTTCTTTACATTCTTTTCCCATATAGGCTGTTACAGAGTACTGAGTAGAGTTCCTTGTGCTAGACAGCAGGTTCTTATTAGTTATTTTATATATTATAGTGTGTGTATATGTTGGTTTGTAAAACTGTAACGTGAGCTCATTGAAGGCAGGGCTTTCCTCACCATTTTTATAGCTCCCATAATCACTACAGTCCTAGCATAATGCTGAATGAATGCCTAAATGCTCTGTTTGAACTAAAGTACATTGTTATTGCAGGTTCTAATTAAAGTCCAAGCATGTGGTGTAAACCCGGTGGACACATATATTCGCTCTGGTACTTACAGTAGAAAACCACTTCTACCCTATACTCCTGGCTTAGATGTGGCTGGAATAATAGAAGCTGTCGGAGAGAGTGTATCTGCTTTCAAGGTATTACATTTTTAATTATTTCTATTTTAGCTTAATATGTATGTATATTTTTAACATTTTAACATAGCTGTAAAATATATCTGTGTTTAAGTCTTTAAAAGGCCCCATTACACAATTTCTGCCACTTGGGGGACTCCTCTAGTCAAAAAAGAAATTACCTTTTATCCAGAGACCTTGCTTGTCTGATTGTTGGGAATAAGTGCTGGGTCATTTCTGTGTTTCCATATCCCCGCAGAATTGAACTATGATCCTTTGATTTGACAGAAATACGTAAGGAAAGAAAAGAAGCAAGGAAATTATACTATTTCCTAACTCTTGGTAATACACAGCCAGCATAGTTTTTTATTTCTTCTATAAAATTAGTTTCACAGAATACAGGGAAGGCTAATTCTTTTGAATAATCAGTAAAAGATGAAAAAATGCAAGGTCAGCTCTACATTTTTAGAGCTGTGACTCAGACCAAGGTGACCGAGTCAATGAAAATGTTATGATCAGGGCTTTCGTTATTTATGTGCCAAAAGACATAAAAAACATAGTATATTCATGTTCTTTCATCTTTCCTCATGATTCCTTGACCTGCTCAACTATGGCAGCACATTTACCAAAATTGAACTGAGACAGCGAAGATTAACGTGGCCCGGGCCCAGGAAGCCGTGCAAATTCCTACAGCTTTCCACTCCTCCGCCTGTGGCACTCTGGCTTCTGCCCCCACCGCTCCACTGAAACGATGCTTGCTCATGTCACTAATGGCCTCTATATTGCTGGAGCTAATGGACCCTTTTATGTCATTATCTCTCTTGACTTCTGTGTGACATTTGACACTCTCAGCCACTTACTTTTCTTAAAAATCTTTTTCTTCAGCTCCTGTGACATCCTCTCTCTCCCTTCCTCTCTGGGCATCCTTTTTCAAGCTCCCTTTTCTCTGCATGCCCCTCACATCTTGGTGTGTTGCCCAGCGCTCGCCGTCCCTACTTAGACTCTGCTTTTTATATTTTCTCCCTCATGATGGTCTCATACACACCCTTGGTTTCCATTATCACATGTGATATCCTTAGCTTAGAATCTTCTAATAAGCTCTGGACCCGTGCTGTCCAAGTACAGTAGCCACTGGCCACACATGGCTATTTAAAATTCACATTCAATTAAAATTAAAAGTTCATTTACTCAAATGCTTAATAGACCCAGGTGTCTAGTGGCTACCCTGTTGGGCAGTGCAGATGCAGAGCATTTACATCATCACAGAAGGTTGTGTTGCAGGGCACAGGACCCACATCGGCAACCTCCAGGAACCTCTTACTCATTGTGTCTAAAAGGGAGCTCATCTTTTCTCACAGCAGATCTGCTGCTGTCTCGTGTGACTGTCTTGGTGACATCTGGGGTTTGAGGCTTACCTCTCCATTCACTCTCCCTCACTCAGCTCTCCCTTACTGGAACTGTTTCCTCTCTCCTCTTTTCCCCCCCACTGCCTGTAGTGTAGTTCCGGTTATCTTACATGGTCCTTTACCTGGATTCTGTAATAGGTACAACTTACCACCCTCCCTTCTTCCCCTGAGAATCTATCCTTGCTCTATAAGGAGTAATTTGCTAAAATGTACTTATGATTATTATACATCTCTGTTTTAACTCTTGCATTAATTCTCTGTAGATTTCAAGGTACTGCTGGAACTGCTTATGTTATGAAAGAAGACTGTTTCGTGCTCTCTCCCCCACCTATCTTTTTCCATTCTTATCTCCCATTCCTTCTCACCCTGTAGTTTATTCTTTAGTAATAACTGTTTGTTCTTCCCTGCATATCCCATGCTCTTTCATCTCTGTGTCTTTGTTCATATTGGCTCTTCTGCGTGGCAGAACTAAACTGAAACTTATAAACATGGGTTCAAGGGCTTTTACCCTCCAGCTTTCATTTCTTTTCATTTTATCTCCCGAAACTATTACATTCCACACATTAAACTACTTATTCGTTGGGAATGAATGCTGATGATTTCTCAGCACCTATTCCTGCCACTGTTCCTTGACGTACTTTGTTTCCTTCATCCATAATGACTTTTCCCAGGTGTGGTTTTCAATTCAAGATCTTGTTCTGTCCTTCAAAGCCTACCTCAAATACTAGTTTCTCAGTGAAGCTGTTCTTGAGTCCTTCAACTTAGAAATAATTCCTTTCTTTTTCTTGTACCTATCTTTGATGGCCCATCATATTTGCCTTGCTTTGTAATTATTTCTATCCTTTTTTTTCCTCTTCCTAGCATTTAAGAAGCTTGAGATTAGGGAGAGTGTCTTGCTATTAATATCCATCACAGAACTTGAAGTACTACTTTCCATAGTGGATTCTCAGAACAGGTTTGATATTGAAATCAATGCAATGTGTTTTTAAGCTGTAAAAACAGAATTAATCTTAAATTAGTCATACTTGACCATTTGCAGGCGACACTGTTAAGCAGTGATGCTTGTCTTTGACTCCTAGATGCCTTTTGTACCTTTTTTATCTCTACCTCACCACATAGTGCTTTATTATAGGGCAAATTTAAGTATATTGAGAATTATTGCCTTACTGTTTTGCTTATTCCAAGGAATATTTCCTTTTTTATTCTCTTTAAGAAATAGGAGTTAGCTTTTATTGTAATTCATAGCTGACATAGAATTCAGCTAATAAATGACTGAGCCGGGATTTGAATGTAGCTATGGCAGACTCTAATGTTCATATTCTCTCTACTACATTGAGATTGTTGAGGCTAGTTCTTTAATAGACCTGTGAAATAGATTATGAAAAACTGTATTCTCTTACTTTATCTTGGGTGTGTGTGTTGCAAGGGGGCAATAATGAGAAGAGGCAAAAAATGATAATGATTTTCATCATTGTACAGTGTACTCTTATATTACTGAAAGGAATGGAAGACCGTTCTTTCTCAAACTTGGCCACTAAGTTTGGTTTTACGCTGACCTGCATAACAACATGAAAAATATTTTCTACAGGTGTTTTTTATTTTCCTGTATCTTTGTAAACTATTGTGTGTGTGTGTGTGTGTGTGTGTGTACACTCTCATATATATTTATTCTTGAATCTGTAATCCTACATAGGTGGCAACAACTCTGTTGCCTATTTCATGCTCAATTAAAAAGAAATCTTATAAGATTTCCATGTATTATGGAGAAAAAGAAGAAATAGGAGTTAGGAGAGGTGCTTGTACTGAGCAGTCTAATTTCCCTAGTGTGCAGGTTACTTTGGGCAGGCCTGTAGTGCTTGTGTGGTGCCTTACCTTACCCTCAGTCATGCATCTGCTTTCCAGTAGCAAGGACCCAGCAGACGTTTGTTTATTGAGAGTTTTTATGTTTCTAGTGCTGTGACAGGTGAAAACATCTGTCCTGGCTCATCTTTGCTGTTCAGGATCCAGGCAGAGTTGCCCGCTTTTTGGTGTATGCATGAAAAATGGGGGAAATACAGAAACAAATCTATGGAAAAGATTTAGAACAGGTGTTTGGTGTGTGGAAGAAACCTTACATTTTATTTGTTTCTTCTCCCTAGTATTTTGGACCAAAAAAAGAAAAAAAAAGTTTTATATTAACTGCCATTTACTAACTGCTTGATCTGAGCTAATTACTGAACTTGTATGTGCCTCAATTTCCTCATCTGTGTAGTGGGATTATCTAAAGGGAGATAATGAAAGTACTTTCCTCATGGGCTGTCATGAAGATCAAATTAGATAATACTCATTAGACACTTAATGCAGTGCCTAGCACAGCAAGCTCTCAATAAAGGTTAGTTATCATCATTATTATTAGACCATGCTGGACATTCTTTCTTTTATTTTTCCTATTTCCCTTGATTTTACTTCTTACTAGTTCCCATTAATAGAACATTTAAAAATGTTCGGTATTTTGAAGTTATTTTTATGAGACCTTAGGATGTAGAAAACAGTTTATAAATACTCATTTATTTCTTGTTATAAAGGTTGCATTATAAAGGATCGTACCCATTTTGACATCATTTTTAATCCCTAAAGCATTTATTAATTTATTGCTTTCCCCAGAAAGGTGACAGGGTTTTCACTACAAGCACAATCTCTGGGGGCTACGCAGAATATGCTCTGGCAGCCGATCACACTGTTCACACACTGCCAGAAAAACTGGACTTTAAACAAGGAGCTGCCATCGGGATCCCGTATTTTACTGCTTTTCGAGCTCTGCTTCACAGGTAATAACACCCTCTGTCAGCTTTATAATCAGCACTAGAGGAGGGCAACATTAACTGGAGGAGGATAATATATAATTTATGCTTCCTACCACCCGTCCACCGTCGGTCATTTTTGGTTCCCATTTGGTTCCCATTAAGATTTATGGAGTAGAAACTGCTAATTTGGGAGACTATTCTAATCACTGAAGAAAAAAAAGAAGAGCAAAACACTGTCTTTGTCTTCGACATGCTCACAGTCTAGTAAGGGAGGGAGTAAGGGAGTAAGAGTAATAATATTGATGTATAATGTAGAAAGGGCAGTGGTAGAGATGTGCATAGGTATCTATGGGATCACAAGGGATGTGCCTATGGTGATGAGCTAGGGCTTCGTGGCAAGATGTAAGACTTGGATTATTTTAAAGCCATGGTTCAAAAATCTTGTTATTCAGCTCCAGAAACTAATTGCTGCAACTTAAAAGGGCTGTACCCTAGACCCACTGGTCAGTTTCCATGGATGATACCTGAGAATCTATATTGTAATTAAATTCTCTAGGTATTTGAAAAGGATCAGAGGGACTTATCCTGGGGAAGGGTAGCTGGGAGTGGGGAGCGCATCCTAGACAATGGGAATAGTTGGTGTGGGGGGGCAAACATCATGGTATCTGGGGAGAAAGAGCTATAGCAGTTTGCTTTTGTTAGATAGAAGATTTCAAGGCAAAGAGTGCTGAAGAATAAGGTTGGGACATAGTAATCTCTCAATAAATGTTAGCTGCCATTATCAAATAGGCGGGATTCAGACAATAAAAAGCTAGATTATAGCGCTCACACATTGTTCCGTAAGGGATTGGGGGGGGTCATACAGTGGTTTTTTCAGGAGAGTGATATTGTCATATTTGTGTTTCAATAAGATCACCTATTTGCTATGCGAAGGATGGATTTGATGACAGGAATGGAGAAAGAGATGGGAGGGTCTTATAGAAGTACCCTCTAGGAACAATACTTAAGGGCTAGAGCAAGGGTCGTGGTAGAGATGGAGAGGAAAGGACAACTGTTTAGGGGGTAAAATCAGAAATATTTGGTGACTGCATGTGGAGAATGAGGGAGAGAAAGAGCTTAAGAATACTTACAGCTTTAAACTTGGGTGATGTTTACTTTGACAAAGAGAAGGAGGAAAAAGTTTCAAAGGGAAACTGAGTTCAGTTTTGAATGTGAAACTAAGACAGACATCGTCATGGAGAAGTCCAGCAGTCTGTCGGATGAAAGAGTCTGAAGCTTGAAGCTTGGAGGTATAAATTTGGGGCTGTCAGCATGTGGTGAGAGCTGGCAAAATGAAAGTCATTGAAATCCCTCAGGGAGTGAGAAGAACAGTGGAGTGAGACTAGAATCTTAGTGAGCATTAACATTGAAGAGTGTGGTCAAACGTAGGGAACAGAGTCCTAAGGGAACCAAAGGGAGTGTATCCCAAGGGCAAGAGAGTCCAGAGTCACCATGTCTGTTAAACATCTGTTAAGCTCGTAGGTGTTGAAGACAGGAATACCTAGGTTATAGCATTGTCTCCACCTACTACTGGTCAAGTTGCTTTCCTGTCTCAACTGTAGTTTACTGACTTGAAAAACATGGATGATAATAATAGCACGTACCTCATGGGGTGTGCTGAGAATTAAATGAGGTAATTAGTGCATGTAAAGCTCTTAGTATGCGAGTAGTACAGTCAGTGTGGGTAGTGTTAGGGGTAGTAGTTGATGTTGCTAACAAGGAGGTAAGCTAGTTGTCAAATGCAGCAGTGAGGGCTATTTGGGAAAAAATACCAGCCGGGCTTAGCAATTAGGAGGTCATCGGTGGCTTTCGTCAGTTCATTTTCAGTAGAGTGGTGGACAGAAGCTTGATTGAGTGGGTTGAGGAAGGAAAAAAAAAATCGATTCTTGAATGGAGACTACTCTTAAAAAGTGGGGGAGACAGGCAGGAAGGGGTAGAAGAGTACTTGAGGAGAGTGTGGGAACAAAAGGTTTTTTTTAAGGATGGACAGGACTTGGACATGTTTGTAGCTGAGAAAGGATCTGTCAGAGAGGGAGAGATGGAAGGCTTGGAAGAGAGGGCGGAGTGGCAGATGGAACAAGATCCTGAGCAGGGCAAGGAGACGACTTAGGACAGAGATAGAGAGATTGGCTTCAGGTCGAAAGGAGAACTCATCTGTAAAGCTTGGAGGAGGTAGTGTAATTATGGAAAGTTGGTGGGCAGGGAGGTGAGACGTTGAAGGAGGAAGACAGAGAGAAGTTGGGGCAATGTACCATGGGGTCCAGGCTGACTAGGGAGGGAAGTGAGGCCAGGAGCAGCAAGAGGGCAGAAAAGGAGCAATTGAGAGGCAGCGATCTGTGAAGCTGAAGAAGTTGTGAGAGAGTATGGGCTTACAGAATCAGGATAGGAGGTTAATATTGCTTGTTAGTGTCTCATATTCCTCAGGTAGAATGGTTAGGGGTGGCTACCAGGTGTAGGGAGAGAGTGGTAAAAGCAGAGGAGAATTCAGGAATTGTGATTTGCGGGTTTCCTCCCGTGAATGTTGAAATCTCCCAGATTGGGGCTGGATTGGGGGTGGAGGAGGAAGCCTATGTGCCAGGTCCTAGCCTTCAGTAACTGCGATGGGGTGCTACAGCAGCACAGAAGGCCAGGCCACATGCTTCAGGCCTGCCGTGGGCCCCAGGGACAGAGGACTGTTAGTTAGGGTTCTCCAGAGAAGCAGAACCAACAGAATGTATATATTGATAGATTGACTTGTGGAGGCTTGGTGAGTCTAAAATCTGATGGGGAGGCTGGCAAGCTCTAGAGCCCGATAAGAGTAGCAGTTCAAATCCAAAGGCAGTCTGCTGACAGAATCCCTTCTTGCTCTGGGAGAAGTCTGTCTTTGTTCCATTAAGGCCTTCAACTGAATGGGCGAAGCCCATCCACATTATGGAAGATAATCTGCTTTATTCAAAGACTACTGACTTAAATGTTAATCTCATCCAAAAAAGCACCTTCACAGAAACATCCAGAATGTTTGACTCATATCTGGCACCATGGCCCAGCCAAACTGACACATAAAATTAACCATCACAGTGATCCTACACAAGGATAGATGGATCGTAGCCATGGGGATCCAGGAGAGGGTTAGCCAGCTTTTTCTCCACCCACTGCAGGCCCAGAGGTTTAGGAGGATGTGCTTAGTGTGTGAGGAGTTGTTTATAAGATTTAAAAAAAATCATTGGGAAGTATTTCATGACCCCTAGCATAACATTAGTGATCCTATTCCCTTACATTTGTATTTTACTTTTTTAAATGTTTTGGTAATACCTATCTCAGTTTATCATTGCAAACCCTCAGTTTAACTCACTGCCCTCAACCCCTCATCTCCAAGCAAGCATGTTGGAGAAACTTCATTTACTGACGCAGTTGTCATTTGTCAGCTGTTGGCACGGGGGCTTGAGCAGGACTCCAGGTTACTGTGCTCTCACTCCCAGCTTGAACATAATGTCTGTACGGGGTGGCCACGCCCTATTGTCCTGGTGAGTAAAGGACCCTTGCTGGGCGTCAGACCTGGATCACGCATTGGTTGCTGGCTTGTGACATCAGCACTTGGCCATCTGAAATGATAAGGCATCCCTCTTTGTCTTGCTGCACGTTCCATGTTTTCAGTGTAATAGAAAAACAGTGGTATGAACCAGAAGTAAAAAGAATATGTCATTTCACCAGAGGGTCTGGACATTTTAGGGGCTGACAGGGGAACCTGTGCGACAGGATTTATTGTGTTTCGTACTCTCTTACCATCGCTGACTCAGCATTGCTTCCTGAAGCGAGGGCTTAGAGGCTGTGCAGCCAGATGTTCAAAGGCATGGAGAAGGAAGGCAGTAGCTGCTATGTTTACTTGGGTATTACTCTGTGTTTACCGTGGAATAAAGACTGAGCTGTAACGACCCTGTTTTGCGACACTTTCTGTGGGACTGAATGGCGGACTCCAGTTCCTCTAGGTGAAGCAATTTCACTTAACACACCAACAAGGCCTCTGAGAAGGTAGCCCAATAACGTGATCCCGGCATCCCAACGGTGACTGGCATGTGATTGACTTCCAATAAACATTTGTTGAATGAATAAGTGAATTGAAGGTTTACTTTTATCTGTGGCTCTGAAGAACCATTGTTTGATCCTGTGGAGCTTGGAGAATATCTTGGGTTATATATCATGATGAGTTTCCTCTTTGGGTAAGTGCTAGTTGAACTGAGGGTAGAGTTCTCTTAAGAATTATGACAAGCATTGAGCCTAATTAGCTCCAGAGTAAGGTGATGAAGCTATACTTTCTTTTTCAGTGCCCGTGTGAAAGCTGGAGAAACTGTTCTGGTTCATGGGGCTAGTGGAGGGGTAAGTATTTGTTCTTTAAGTTTATTTTTAAAAGAGCTTACGTTTGTGCGTTTCACGTTGTATTTCTTTAAGTTGTTTTTAAAAGCCAAATTTGTAAATATAGTCAAGGGTGCTTTTTTTCTTTTTGTAGCGAGGCTTCTTTAAATTCCGTCTTCTGAAGGTGATTCCCTGTCATTAGTTTAGCATTTCTTGGTTAATAAATTCAGTAGATTACCAGGTCAAAAATGTATGCATTAGGTTTTCCACCTGTGTTGGGTATGGACCTAGATAAGCCGGCTTTGTTTTTCTCTTCAAGTAGTGAATGTTACAAGAATATTTATTTAGAATTTTAAACAGTTCTTTAAGGTTAATGTAAATTCTACATTCCCTTAGATAAGGAAATTAAGGCTCATTAAAGCTTTACCGCTGTTGCCCCAGACAGCACTGCAAAGCCACACTGTGAGTCTTTGTCCTTTCTAGCTCCCTTCCTCCTGGCCTGCTGCGCTTTGATGACATTCGTGGGGTACATAGTATACAGCTGTGTCCCTCACACCACAACCCATGGCTTAAAATGCTAATGGGGCTGCAGGGGAGGGGGACTCAGAACTTATAAAATCAGCCCTGCAGTGAAATCATGCAACGCAAGGCTGTCAGAAACCTCTTCAAGAAACTGGCTGTCGATCTGCCTCCGAGGAGCTTAGAGGAAAAGTTAGAGCTCTGAGGTTGGAATTTAACAAGAAATCCACATGACCTCTATCCTGCACGTAAAGGCTTTAGAAATTTTGGAGACAGGATTTCGCATTTTTAAAATACAGGGCCTGGGGCTGTATGGTTCACCTTGAGGAAGCTGCTTAACCCTTTCAGGGCACTGTGTATTCCAGAGAGTAGATGGAAAGAAGTAACCTGTTAATGGCACATTGTTCCCAGAATAATGAGAGGCATCCTGAAAATGTGAATTTACCTCTAAACATGGCCAGATAATACAAACAGAGAATTCAGACCTCTGCATTATCTGTTAATGTGAACGTATCACCAGGTTTCACACCCAGCTTCCTGTGTACCTTCAATAGATTAATTCTGAAGGATTTCACGGATCAGACTATTTACTAAAAAACACCAAGATTGTCTTTCTGGGGCTTGAGAAAATATGACAGATATACCTTGTCCAAAAACGCCCATTGTTTAGCTTCAGCGAAGAGGCTATTTGGGGGTTAAATTAAATTTAACCCTAAATAACTAAAGGATCTGTCAAACATTCATGTATTTAAATTGCTTTGGCTTTCAGAGAGCTAACCTTGTGCTCTGTATCAAAGGGAGAGATTTCAGTAGGAAGGGGAGAGAAGAGTTTAAAGAAAATCTCTTTTTATTCCCTTTACTCTCTTGTAAAAAGCCAGGTTGCTTCACCATGATTTTTTTTAAAAAGGCAGAATCCGCACTGTTCCCTGTGCTGGCTGAGTTTGTTAAATCCTTGGCTGGCGGGGATAGGCTGGTGACCTGGTGTGTGAAGCACTTCTGATCCTCCCTGCCCTATCAGAGGGAAACAGTGCTGGGTTTTGTCTTGCTTCTGTTTGTACTTTCTGTCCTCATTTAAATCAAATTCCTTTGGGATTATGTTGTGTATTTAAAATGGTGTAGAATGTATGAACACAGCTATTATTCCGATATGTTGGTGGGGAGTGCCCTATTTTAGCGTCAGCAAAATAAATAGAAGAAAAAATAGTTGATACATCATGATATATGATCTATTGAAGGAATATTGTTAGTATAATTGTTGACAAGAATAGAATAAACAGCACCTTTAAAATAGCTACTGAGTGCCCCTTTGAAGTAGTTAGAGCATAAGGAGGTATATTTACATTAACTCTTAGGTTGAAATGTGGTTTTCTTAGAAGCCCCCTGTCTTTTTAATTGAAAATTAAAGTAGCAAAAATCAGTCATGCTAACCACATAGTGTATTGTTATTTCATGGAATTGAATGTCTGTTGCACTCAGTAGACAGTGAGCTCCCAGTGTTTGTTTTGGTGAAATCAAACAGATCCTCACCATAACCCAAGTGGGTTCAGGCTCATCATTCCCATATGCCATACAATCTTTAAGGTCTATTTCAGGCCTGGGAGTCTGTGATTCTGTTACAATTTTAATTAGTTTCTATCATCATTTTTCACCTTAATTCTTTTCTATCATGCCTAATCTATAATCATTTTACCTTCCTTTAAACCAGTGGTTATCAATAAGGGGTGATTTTGTATCATCTCTTCTCCTCCTTGGGGACATTTGGCAGTGTCTGGGGACATTTTTGGTTGTTACAACTGGGTAGAGGGGTCTGGCATCCAGTGGATAGAAGCTAGGCATGCTGCTAAACATCCTTCACTGCACAGCATAGTCCCCACTGCAAAGAGTTACCCGGCCCAATAGTGCCAAGTTTGAGAAAGCTTGCTCTAAATGTATGGGACCCTTATCTGTGCCATTCATTTGGCATGTGATCAAACGTATTTCCTAGTATTGCAATTTAAATAATTGCTTTTATCTATATTCCTAAAATAATTTTATTTCTCCTGTATACTAAGCACATTTATCTAGTGCTCTAGTGATTTCATCAAGTCCCGTGGCTTTAAACTGATGAATCTCAAATTTATGTTTCCATTTCTGAATTCTTTTTAGCCCATACCCATATTCAGCTGATGACTTTACATCTTCAGTTAGGTGAGCAATATACAGCTCAGCATGTTCAAAGTGAATTCTTAATGCTTTCACTAACTTGATCCTCTCTAATCTTCCTTATCCCAGTCAATCTACCCAGTTAATCTGGCCAAAGACCTGGGAGACATCCTTAATTTTTCTCTTTTCCTCACCTTCCACCTTCAATCTATAAGGAAGGCCTGGTCTTCCTACTCCCATTTCCCCCTACCTTCCTTTTGCCTCTCATATAATTGGAATTTCTTTTAAAAGCCTAATTTGGATCATATCCCTCTCCTGCTTAAACTCTCCAGTAGTTCTGCATGGCTCTTAAATGTAATCCAAAGCCTTTACCTCCAAGGCCCTGTGTGCCTTGGCTTTTCTGTGCCCCTCTGGCCTCATCTTCTGCTGTCCCACATGTCCCACCCTCAAGCCACATTGACCCTCTTTCATTTTTTTTTTTTTTTATTAAATTTATTTATTTATTTATTATTTTTGGCTGCATTAGGCCTTTGCCACTGCACGTGGGCTTTCCCTAGTTGCAGGGATCGGGGGCCACTCCTCATTGCGGCACGCGGGCCGCTCACCACGTCGGCCTCTCCCATTGCAGATCACGGGCTCCAGGCATGCGGGCCTCAGTAGTTGTGGCCAGCGGGCTCCAGAGCGCAGGCTCAGCAGTTGTGGCACACGAGTCTAGCCGCTCCGGGGCATGTGGGATCTTCCCCGGCGAGGGATCAAACCTGTGTCCCCTGCATTGGCAGGCGGATTCCCAACCACTGAGCCACCAGGGAAGTCCCACATTGACCCTCTTTCTGACCTTTGAAGGCCCCAAGCTTATTCCTGGTTCAACCATGACCATTCTGCCTACAACATCTCCAGCAGGCTTCCCTGACTGTCACGTGCTTATCGCTCACTTCATTCAGGTCTCACCTCTTCAGAGCAGCCTTTCCTGATGACCTAACTGGCCCCTTTCCCTATCTCTTTATAATCCAATAGGCTGTTTTATTTTTTTCAAGTACTTTTCATTTTCTGAATTTACTTTATTCATTTATTTTTTCATGTGTTTATTATCTTCCCCCTACCTTAGAACATAAATTTCTTGCATGAAGAATCATGTCTTGCACATAATAAATAATAAACATTCATCATATTAGTGAATAAGTTAATTTGCTCATGTATGTACCTGTCTCCTCCACTTAAGTGGTAGAGGCCTTACCTTTGTTATGTAATATTTTATATGTACAATTAAAGTATAAAGTCAGTGAGCACATTTTCATCATCTTTAAACCCTGTATCTTTTGCACAAAGCAGATGCTAAATGAACATTTTGTGCAGTGGTTACAAACTCAAGCTCTGCAATCTGATTTGGTCCAGCTCCTGTTTCCATATATATAAGCTTCAATTTTCTCATCTGTGGGCCAGGGACAATAACAATATCTACTTCATAGGCTTCTTGTGAGGATGAAATGAAGCAATACATAGAAAGTATTGAGTGTAATACCTGGCATATTATAAATGCTCAGTAATAGTTAGCTGTTGTTCTTATTTCTTTGTTTAGGCTCTTAAACTTCTTAACAATAGCTAGAACCTAGAAGAACCTAAAGTTCATTATATGTATTTAATAAATGTTTGCAGGGATGCAAAGAATCTAAAATGTTGGGCCATATTTTGTTTTTCAGGTTGGAATAGCAGCATGCCAAATTGCTAGAGCTTATGGCTTAAAGGTTTTGGGCACAGCTGGTACTGAGGAAGGACAAAAGATTGTTTTGCAAAATGGAGCCCACGAAGTGTTTAATCACAAAGAAGCTAATTACATTGATAAAATTAAGGTAAAATTGTTCTATAATTTTATAAAAGTAAAATTTTGTTTCATGGGAGACAACATTTTTTTTGTAAGTTCTTTTATCAACTACTCTCTTAAAGTTGTTTGTTTTGCTTATGTGTGTTTTAAAGATTTAATTAGTTTAACAGAGATGTCTAGTTTTCAAACCTTCACTATCATTTCTGTCTTGTTTATTTTTACTAAGTAAAATATAGACTCTCTAGAGGCTTATAGCTATAAAAACTGGTACTCTTTAATGCAAATCACATTTTAAGTAAAGCCACAGCTTTGTATTTGCAGCTGTGAGGCAGGTTTTTTTTTTTTTTTAATATATATTGTGAATATTGTGAAATGATCACCATAACAAGTCTAGTTAACATCTGTCCCCATACACAACTATAAAATTTTTTTTCTTGTGATGAGAACTTTTAAGATCTACTCTCTTAGCAACTTTCAAATATATAATACAGTGTTATTAACTGTAGGCACCGTGCTATGCATTACACCCCCATGACTTACCTATTTTACAACTGGAAGTTTGTACCTTCTGATCCCACCTTTACCCCTGTCACCCGTCCCCCACCTCCACCCCACCTCTGGCCACAAAAAGGTAGTCTTAATATAATTTCTGTTGGTGTATATTTTCCATAGAAGAGAAGTTATCCACTGATTAAAAAGTGGATCTGTTTAGCCTAGGGAGTAAAGTTTATTTGTTTACTGGATACTTTAGAGGAGTGAGCACTACCTCATCCAAAGCGCGAGATAGAATTTAGTTATTATTGCATCCATTCCATTGCTGCAACAGAATTCAAACAGATTCTGAAGTTCTCCATTTGTGCTATAGTAGCAGTTTACTAAACACCTATTACTTTGCTAATCCCCAAACTACTTGCTCATGTTGAGAAAGAATTGGTATATTCCAGGTACTGATTACTGTGTAAACAAGGTCATTACAAACTGAGGAAAAATATGACCGAGAGTTTATTACCACTAAATCATCTTGCCAAAAAACTGAGTAAAGGCACTCCTTTGTTATATGTTGAGGGAACCTAAAATTGATTGAGTATGCACTCATGATACCAGTATCAGAGATGAAAAATTGTCAGTTATTTTAAGAATATGTTTTTGTTTTGCAGTCAAATTCCGTCTCTTCTACTGGTTCCTTCTGCTTAAGTCTCTCTCATTCTCCAAAAACTTTCTCTTAACCTTTTATCTCCTCCTCCCCCTCCTTTACCACCACATTTCTTGAAAAAGTCAGGGGTACTTACTGCTCTTACTTCCTTACCTCCCACTGCAGTTTTGCTTCCACCCCAGCTACTTACACGGCTTGTCAGGGGTGCTGGTAAGCGCCTAGTTACCAGGCAGCTGCTCTTGACTCAGTCCTCATCCTGTCTGACCCTGACCACACCTTCTAGAAGCTGGCTCTCTTCTTACTTCTCCGACTTCATTTTCAGTCTCCCTTCTCTTCATTTTACTTAAATGTTGGTATTCCTTAGGTCTTTCCCCTTGCTCTCTAATCTTCTCTGGTGCTGCACCTCCATCCTGATTCATCTCATACACACCCTTATACTGCTGGTTTCCAACACTACCTCTGGCCTGTTTCATTCCTTCATGCCATCAGCCTACTAGATATTGACACTCATCTGGTCCCTCAGGACAGAAACCCACATTTCATTTCCTGTCCCTGTTGTTTAATCACCATTCTCCCTCCTACCCATCAAATTGGTCACCTCATCTATCAGTGTCATCTCTGACATGCCTTTCATATATGTCTCTGTTTCTCTTTTCCATTCATCCTTGTGACTTAGTTTAGTCCTCATCTTCTTCAGCCTTGACTATTATTCCCAGCTGAGCTAATCTCCCCTCTGCCTTCTCTACTGTCTCCAGCATTATTTGGTTCTCTGTTTAAAAAAAGGAAGAAAGAAAGAAAAAAGTCTTCAGAAATAACTGAAATGAGAGCTCCATGAGAATAGGAATTTTTGTCTTTCTTGTTCCCTGCTGTACCTTCAGTGCCTAAAACAGTGTCTGGCATAAGAATTAATTAACCTGCCCCCCAAAAGTCCAAATCTTTTAACGTGCATTTGATGTGTTTTCACAGTCTGAACCAATTTGCAATTTCTTGTCTCCCACCTCTTCCCCCACCCCCATCTCTTTCCCAGATACGTTCTCCAGGTCTGCTGGGCCACTTTCCAGTTCCAACCTGTACTCTTAGTCCCTACATCTTTGCTTTTCTGTTTCTTTTGTCCAGACCGACTGCCTCATGTCTAACTTCCTCTTGCGCCCTCTTCCTTCTGTTTTACTTAAGGAACTCCTACTCATCCCTCAGGGCCCAGGTCATCACCTCTGTGGAATTTTCTCTGACCTTTACATGTGATCAGAGTTGTAACTTTTATTCCCTCCATAACCTGTGGTTTATTTCTGCTAATATAGTACTTAGCCCATCACATCACAGTGAAGATTGTAGTGTTTTCCATCTTCCTCACTTTGTTTTGAGCTCTTTATGTCCATCTTGGCATTTCTAGTACCTCTCACAGTGCCTGACACAGGTATTCATTTTTTTGTTAAAATAAATGAATATAAGGTAGATATGTATAGCTTATTTAAGATCCAGTTTTAGATGCTGGGAACCGACATCTGAGAGCCCAAAGGAAAAGAAATAGTCTGCCAAGCTGATTGTAGACCACTTAGAACAAAACTGAATGCACACACACACAAAATCCTGCAACAGCAAACAGCCAGTGATTTTTTCTTTTGTTTTCTGTTTTTTAATAAAAACGGGAAACCCAATGTCCAGTTTTGGATTTTTGATTTGTTCCTTCTTTCTCTATTGAAGTACATTTTGAAGATAGAAAATTTTCAGCTAAGGAAAAAGTACTTTATAGTCAAGTTGAGTCTAAGTGCCTGAAAATTTTGGACAAATTTTATTTCATTATAGCAATTTATTTAATACAGACCTTTATCATTTTAGATGTTGTAGCTAGTACCTTGGAATTACAGCATCACTATATAATTACATTATCTTAAAATTTGCATTATTAGCCTTTAAAATATAGCATCTTATGTCATTTGAAACACAGTTCTGTAATATATGGGACTATGATAACAGTTATTTTTCCTAATCTACTCTGCATTCTTTTATATAGAAATCTATTGGTGAAAAAGGAGTTGATGTGATTATTGAAATGCTAGCTAATGTAAATCTTAGCAACGATTTGAATCTTTTGTCACATGGAGGACGAGTAATAGTAAGTATTTCATTTTTTTTTTACCACATTGTAGTTTTATCGTAATTTAACTCTGTTTTGCAGTCATCTTTAACTATAGACATGCTGTTTTTCATACTAGGTTGTTGGCAGCAGGGGTCCTATTGAAATAAACCCACGGGACACCATGGCAAAGGAATCTAGCATAATAGGAGTTGCTCTCCATTCATCCACCAAGGTAGGAAAAGAAGTGACTCTGATTTGGGTACCTTAAACATTGATATAAGTTGTCTAGTCAGGCAGACTGAAAATTTAAGTAGATGTTAAAGTTAGTTATCTAAGTGGGTTAAGGATTAATCCCTAGAAGATAACATCCCTAGAAGATAATCCTTAGAAGATAGGGTGACAGTATAATTTTATTTTCCAAGCCAAGGCACTTATGAAAGAGAAAGGAGATACTATTCACAATTACTAATTACTTCAGGACGATAGGTATTTTGTAAACTGAGACCGCCACAGACAAATTGCACTAATGGTTAACCTATAGAGAACTACTTTTTTTGTAGTTCTGGACAAGTTGACAAAAGCTACGTATTTGTGAGAAATTCTTAATGTTTTTTGTCTTAGATTCTGAAAAATTTTAATGCTTCTGAAAATTAAGTCATGTGTTCCTCTACTGAAAAAACTTTTTCTTTTCCTCAGGAGGAATTTCAGCAGTTTGCAGCAGCTCTTCAAGCTGGAATGGAAATTGGTTGGTTGAGACCAGTAATAGGTCCCCAGTATCCATTGGAGAAGGTGGCCCAGGCTCATGAAGATATCATTCATAGCAGTGGGGCTACTGGAAAAATGATTCTTCTCTTAAAATGATTAATCCTTCCACAGATTTCCTGCATAATTAAAGGTTTCTTACCTCAGTTTTACGTACACTACATTTGCTTTAATTAGCATTCATTTGATTCAGTGAGTTTCTTATATTAAAAAAAAAGATTTATCTTTAGCGATCATAGACATTGGAGTGCAATTTATTTTATAGCTGGCAATATTCTTTATGCCTTCTGCCTCTCGTCAAGGATTCATCATAGGAGGAAATAGAATATTAGTGGTCACTTGGCATTGGAGGGCATTACAGAAATTCCTAACTGATACTTGATCATTGATTCCATACCTTTGACTAAAACATGCTAATTCAAAGTAAGACTGCTTGATTTCCAAGCCTACTTCTTTATAAGAACCTTATAGGGACTTCCCTGGTGGCCCAGTGGTTGAGACTTCGCTTACCAGTGCCGGTGGTGTGAGTTTGTTCCCTGGTTGGGAAGCTAGGATCCCACATGCCTTGGGGCCAAAAAAACCAAAACATAAAACAGAAACAATATTGTAAAAAATTCAATAAAAACTTGAAAAATGGTCCACATCCAAAAATCTTAAAAAAAAAAAAAAAGAACTTTATAAAGGTTCTTTAGTCTCTGATTAGCCCAGAACTATATTGGACTCTGAAGATTTTCTGGACTAAACAAGACACCTTTTCCAAACTAATCTCATCTAGATCTACAAGTCTCTCAGAACGGCAAGATAAATGATGTCCAGAGAAATTTGTTAGTTTTCCAATATATTCCCCAATATATTATGACATTCACTAGGTTAATGATTGATTACCAGTGATCCATATTCTGTGAGGACAGGAGCCTTATCTTTGGTATAATATGATACTAGGTGCATAGTTTCCAAATAGATGCTTATTGATTGATTCAACTTCTAAGTAGATTTAGAGTTACCTGTTTGTGTGGTGGGGATCATATATTTTTATTTAAATTAATAAATGAATTTACACATTAAGAATGATCTGCTTTTGTTATTATGACATGGTAACTACAGTAAATTCTAGAGGAAATTAAAAACTGTTTTTCTAGTTTGTCTTACATATAGTACTTGCCTTACATCACTTTTACATCACTGTTACTTCCTAATAGTGTTTTGCATTGGAAGTTTTTATCTAAACTAAATTAAGGAATGATTACCTAGAAATCTTGCCATCAATATTATGTCCCAGGAAATGAGGTTTGATTGTTATTTTTGTTCTTGCTTTTCTTCATGTGATCACAGCCTCCTATCTGTTAGTATATTATATGGTTGATTCTCTTGACCTGATTTGTTCTGTTGAATGACAATTTCTTGTTTGAATGTGGAATCCTGCTTTCATAGTGAACAGAAACCACTGCTAACTTCTATAATTGAGGGCTGTCTTTGGCTTCTGGCTCTACGTGCCATGGCTGAAGTGGTTTTACTGTTAGCATTTTCCAAGTTTATTATTTCTTTTACAGGTTAGAGTCTTGTAGAGTGAAAAATAACATGTTTTTAAAAATTGTTAAAAAAACAATGTCATGAATCTAGAGATTAGCATTTTATATACATTTCAAAATGGAAGATTCCTTCCCATTCAAAAAGATAAAGGAATAATTATTCCTCAAAAGTCAGTTTAATCTGTTTTCACATTTGCCTCATCTATAGAATAAGCTAAGGCATACTGCTCACTTAACACTGCACAATCCATTGATACAGTTCAGTTAATTTCAAAGGCAAAGCTAGCCAAAGTTTGTACATTAACTACCATATCTATGGTTATGTAGCATTGGACATGTTCCCTGTACAAATCTCCTTGTTGTTCTAGTTCTGCTCTTGTCCATTTTCAGCAAACTATGTTCACTGCACTGTTGGTGCTTATAGACCAAGGGCTACCACCCCATTCATCAGTGCTGTCCCTGATACGAAGTAGAGAATAACTTGTAGAATCAACAAGCATTATTTTGCGTTTCAACCATCTGAATTTCTGTTCCTATTTGCTTTGACCTTAGAATTGTATTTGCTTAGGATCATATAATGTGTTAAAAGATCAAATGGATCAGCCACCCTGAGCCTAAGAAGGCAAACTGTCATGCCAAAGGTTTATCCATTTATCCATTATTTCAAAGTATTTATTGAATACTTAGAGTTTCAGAAGGCACCATGCTGGAATTTGAGGATACAAAGATGTATAAGACATAGTCAACATCTTTGAGCTTAGAGCTGAGTAGGGATGAGAGCTGAGTAAAACATGTGTATGTATAAAGAGATTTAATTTAAGGAATTTTCTCTTACAATTATGGAGCCCGACAAGTCTAAATCTATGAGGTAGGCTAGCAGAGTTTTTATATTGCAGTATTAGGTATAATTCTTTCTCTGGGAAACCTCAGTTTTTGTTCAATGCTTTCAACTGATTGAATGAGGCCCGCCTGCATTACTGAGGGTACTCTACTTAAAATCATCAGGTGACTCTTTGTAAACACATAAAACATGACATTATGTTGACACAAAGCTGACCATCACAAAGGGGTGACATGGGGATACAAATGAGGGGCACCTGGTGTAGCTTGGGATTTCCAGTTACACATTTAATATTTCAATGCATTTGTTACTTCCTGCTATCCAAAGTAGCTTTGGCCATAGAAGTACCAAAATAATTTGGATGCTTCTGAAAGGGAAAAAAAATCAGGGAGCATTGTATAATGTCCTTAGCTCAGCTTTACTGAGACAAGAAATCCTATGTGTTCCAAGGGACCTCCACAATTCACAGTGTAAAAGCTTTTTCTCTGCACAAGACAACTCAAGAACAGCAAGACTGATCAGGTCACTTTGACCTTGGCTCTCAGCCTCCTCAACCATGTCTCACAGACAGGAAAACACCTTAGCTCAATCCTTAATTCTCTTTCCAACACTACCTTTTCTTTCGGTAGAGCGATTTTTTTTTTAATGTCATTTAAAATTGTCATAAGACAATTTAGCTAATCCATAGGGCTTAGGAATAGCTCATATTGTGGGAGCTTCCTCCATCCAAGGAAAGAGCCTGGGAAATGTATCATAGAAATCTAGATCCACTTTGGCCTGTGTCAATGACCACTAGGTTTTGATGGGGACAGTCCACATATGTTCTTCAAGAGGGAGTCTAGGGCTTCCCTGGTGGCGCAGTGGTTGAGAGTCCACCTGCCGATGCAGGGAACACGGGTTCGTGCCCCGGTCCGGGAAGATCCCACATGCCGCGGAGCGGCTGGGCCCGTGAGCCATGGCAACTGAGCCTGCGCGTCCGGAGCCTGTGCTCCGCAACGGGAGAGGAAAAAGAGGGAGTCTAACACTGATCCCAAACTGATTGCATGATACAGATGCTCATTAATTGTGTTTCAAATGTGGCCACAGATGAGCAGTCTTGGATTTTATCCTTTGCTAGTTTCATGTAAAAATACCCACAAAGACTGCGACACTACTAATAACTAAAGATAAGAGGAAACCCTGTACCAAAATCCGTTGGGAATGTATATTAACTTCAGTGTCAATCATTTGATTTATTGACCCACATTAGCTGCAGAGTAGGTAAGAAAAAGCCTCCGCTCAGTCACTGCCTCTAACGCAGGCCACAAGAGATACACTGCCTAGAGAATCAAACCCCTTATTACACAGAAATTATCTGAGCCAGCTAGGGATGTATGTCCAGCCCTCAGGATCCCTCATCTCCTTTAGAGGCTACAGGATTCAATTTTTAGTACAACTGCAGATTCAGGAGGAAGGGGAACTTTGCACTCTCGGATGTACAGTCACCCCAGAGATGGCCTTGTAGATGGATGGAGAGTAGCAGACTCTCAGATTGCAGCAAATGCTGGAGAGTATACAGCACTCATGCAAAGAACATTTGACTGTAGCAAAGCCAGACTAAGAATTGTGGAGCTGTTGACTGAAAAAAGAAGAAAAAGCACAATGTGAGAGTTGCGAGTTAAGTTTTTTATTTGGGACAGAATGAAGACTATAGCCTGGGAGACCAGATAGCTCTGAGAAAATGCTCCAAAGAGGTAGAGGTGGGGAGGTCAGTATATATGTGATTTTGGTGAAGGGGAAGTACATACAATCAAGCACATATTTTTTGCAGAAGATTACTGCTAGTCACGAGGAGCAGATGTCACCATGAAGGATTTTAGTGCTTTTCTAAATACGAGGAGATGCAAGAATTGGGCTCATAAAATCTTCTCCTGAAAATAGTTATCTGAAGACCTGTTCTGCCAGTTTTTCCTAGAGCACAGAGTGCCTCATTCCTGATCTCCGCCCTGAACTCCTTTCAGTGGGTGTTGAAGGTCAGCAGCTGCAGTGGCTCATAATTTGATCCTTGTAGAGGTAGATGGCAAGTGCCACTTTGTAGGTGACAGCAGAAGATGCTCATGCCCTAGTTGAGCAGGCGCTGGAACTGGCACCAGCACTTAGGACTCCACCTCACTCCAGATGTATATCTGAAAAGAACTGGGCTCCCTCATGAGCAGGGCGGAGAGCCAGGGCACATGAAACCCTCTGGTAGGGTTAAGAGCGTGGGTTATGGAGGCAAAAGACCTGGCTTTAAATCCTGGCTCTACTACTGACTAGCTGTGGAGTCCTGGGCAAGTTGCCTAGTGATTTGGAGTCTCAGTTTCCTTACATGTAACATGGTAGTAACATCTACCTCAGAGTTTGTACAAATTAAACAAGCTAATGTCTATGAAGTACTTATTAGCACTCTGTCTTACACAAAGATGTGTCTAAATAATTATTCTTTCATTTTTATTAGCCATAAAGAATAAGTTGAGAAAAAGGGGAGGAATGAAGAGGGAGCATCCTGAAATATGCAAAGAATAAAAGGAAACCCCCAACACAGATTCTCTATTTACAAATAGGAGGTACAGGTCAGCATTACTGACTACAGAAAACTTCATTGGTCATATGGATAAATTTTATCCCTCTCCAAAAATGTAAAGAAACGGGATGAGAAAAAAAAATAAGGTAGAGCAAACAAAAAACAAATACAAATGCAGCTTTTGAATTATGTGTGCCCCCTCCAAAAAACCCAGGAAAAAAATAGTAGTTAGGGAAATCTTTACTGAGCTAACCAAAAGAGCTAAGTTTATTCACTGATAGTATATATTATGTCTATGCAAAATTAATGAAAAGTAC